TGCGAATATTTTTGGACAATTTTCGGTGTTTTACACCACTTTCTTTATTATTATCTGTTAATTTAAACCAGTATACAACTCCGTGGCTAGGCGTCAGGAACCCTATCCACGGTTTTAAACCTATCATCAAAAAGACGTAGAATGGCGTATGGACTAGCTTTGTAGGTCCACTGAGCCAAAAGAGCACCAAAACCAAAACCTGCTGGAACTTCGAACGCTCGCTTTTTTACATTGAATAAAATGCAAAATGCCTTTGCCAGCTGCGTTAGCTGCACGTCTTGCAAAAAGAGGTTTAATTTTAGGATCTGAAAAAAATGGTATGTCAAATTACGATATTGTGTAAGTTAACGATGTAATTGGTCAATTTATTGCTTTATGCTATCTCTTTTGATTTCAATAACATAACATGTTTGTAAAATTATACTCATTGGATTCCGTTTTGAGTATGAAAGAAGGTTTGACACGAAGAATCACTTAATACTAGGAAAAAACAGAATGAACGTGTTTTAAGGTTAGGTCAAAACCAAACTGTAAAAAACGTAAGAATTTAGCGATATGAGTTTTGCTGCGATGAGACAGCGCGTCAAAGTTTAAACATAAAGCAAGATTCCACGTTAAAAAACTTTCATACGGTATCTCTTTCTTACTTTTGTTACATTTTTTTTAATGTGTAAGCTAGGACTTTTCAATCCTGTATCAAACAAATTTGTTGACTAACAAACAAGTACAAATGTTAACCTTATCTTTTTTTTTAGAATCTGGAAAGAAAGATACAAAGAAGAAAGTACACGAAGAAGTTATAGCTGAGGATTATGATAATACAAAAGATGAAATTAATCAAATTGATATCTCTCAGAAGTTTATGGTAAGCGATAATGATTAATTAGATTAACACATGCTGTTTTTTTTTTGTATATACAACTTGTATGATTATATATTGTTTTAATACTCAAATCTTTTTAATTCAGGGTTATAGCGGATGTCCAAATAAATATAACATTTATCACGAATGTACAAAAAAATGTAAAGAGTTGTGGGGATTGGGACATGTGCAACCTTCTGATAGATATTTGAAGAAACAAATGATATTAATTCAAAAATATCCTTTACCAGAAACGTGGAAAGCCGTTTACGACGCTGGATCGTAAGTTTAATGTCGTACTTTGTTACATCTTTGTGAGTAATAAAAATTAGTTTTCTTTAATTTAACAAAAAAAAAATTCATTTCTAATTTGTATATTTGCAGTGGACAACACTATTACTGGGATTGGTCGTCTGACTTAGTATCTTGGTTACCACCAGGTCATCCTAAGTGTCAAATATCCCAGCCTGCGTCCCAATTGCGTGAAGAACTACATTTGAAAGCTGGCGACCAAGATGATAACATGTCAAGTGATGAAAGTGCTAGTGATCAAGAACCGATGGAGGTTAGTAGTGCTTGTTGTAAAATATATATATCTCATATTGTCAAAACTTATGTGCTCACGTGATAAAATAAAATGTACTTTTTTTTTACAGGTCGATGAAGCTGATATAAAAAAAGACAGAAAAGTTGAAAATCGCGCGAGGTACAAGGGATCAGACAACAAACGAGTTCAGAGATCTGACAAAGACAAAAAGGATCATACATTGGATCCCATGGATCCAGCGGCTTACAGTGATATTCCCAGGTAGTTTTAATAGAAATGTTTGCACACACACACAATAATATATGTTACTTAATTGTTATTTGTATATTAATTTATCTTGCAAGAGGCAAATATTTTATTATATACATAATTGGTAATCGTATATAATTCTTATTAGGGGAAAATGGTCTGATGGATTAGCGAGGCACAATGAAGCTAAGACTGGCGCCGATACAACCGCTTCTGGACCGCTCTATCAAATGAGACCGTATCCCAGTCCGGGCGCGGTGCTTCGTTCGAATAGAGCTAATAAAACAGAATTGGAATTACCGAACAAGTCAAAAGGAATTTTTCCAGAAAAACCGGAATAAATATATCTTGATTGTAACATTTATATATAATTATAAATATGCAAAATTACATATATTTAAAATAACACCGAGTATTCTTCACGCTATATTATGACCAATGGAATCTCGCGACTCTTTTGTAAAGTAAATAGACTCTTTATGTAAGTTTTAATCTTTTTATGAAAAATTTTAACTAAATTTATAGAAGTAACAATTACTGTAATATATGCACAGGTAATTGATAAATGTTCGTGTCTTATAGAAGTGACATGATTAATTAGTATGTTATCGTGAAGTTAATATATTTTTTATCGCGATTGACTACATTGATGAACATCAATGTTATCACAAAATGAGCTTCGCGCAAAGATTCTATTCTACATATTCTTTACAAACATATGTATATCGAGCAAAATCTCAAAACAATATTTAATATTTATTTATTAACACAGTAATTAAAAGAACTCAGAGTCGTCGGTTAAATCAGAGCATAGCAAATCCAGGCAAAAGTAAGTCCGTCGCACGAATCACACCGCAAGTTATTAAAAAAATAATTGATTCCATTTGACATTGAGATGTAAACAAACACATCGAAACTGATGAGAGATTAAAATTGATTGCAATAATTATCGATATTTGAATTGTCGATTAAACGATAAGATTAAACATCATTTATCGTCTGTTTAAAAATTGTGAAATTTGCTAAACACAGTAATGTATGAAATAATTGTTAAGCATTTGTTGCTATGCTCAACGCAAAAATAAGAGAATTGGTGAAGAATGCGCATTGATAACAATCGGTGAATAAACTTGGAAGTACTCCATACCTGTTTTTATCTATAATTTTGTTCCACTCGACGACCGAAGGTCTGATAAAAGCTTATATGAATTATAGGAAGGAGTGAGGGATCGACGTGAGAGAATTTATCATATATTGCCGTTACAGCGAGTGTCAGTAGTTTACTGTATTTTACACAAGTAACCGCGTGTCGCTGATAATTGCGGCTAAAGAATCGCGCGCGGGTTTATACGTTCGACATTTTACAAGAATGAGTATCGGCATTGCGTTGACAGTACTTGTCACTCTCACATTAGTTCCTGCCGATAACTCCGTGGATTTAAGATTTATCGGAGCATTAAACGGTGAGTTGTAAAAAAAAAGTAAATACAATTCTACTTTTTCTGATATAAAACACGCGAAAAGATATTTTTTTTAGAAGTTTGAAAGGCGTTAAATTCTTAAACATTTTGTGAATATGAAGTTTATATTGTTCAAATTTTTCCACGAGCCAATAATGTCAGTATCGTGGTTAAATTTGACGTTGTTGTGTGATAAATTGTACTATCTCTCTGTTATTCTGCAAGAGGAAAAAAAGACTGTTTGTAAGAATTATTTCCTCTTGCAAAATTTTTCTTTTTATCGAACAATTCTTGGATTTATTTAATTACAAGTGAGAAAAAAATTTATCCGCAGATTCAATCTACGAACAAATTTCGAAGAATAATTCACACTCAAATAATACTCAAAAATATGACTCGGTTCGTCTAAGTAATGCATCATTAGACGAGAACGTAACAAAGATTACGTTCGGAAAATACAATGACGTCGAGAACGATGGAACGGAAAATTGTACGGAACGTTCGATCAGAGAATTCAATGAACTGTTCACGCTGGAGCAGCGTCGTCAGGGCGCGGTGATACTGCACCTTGTATTTGGATTCTATTGCTTCATTTTGACCGCGTTTGTTTGTAACGACTACTTGCTGCCGGCGCTCGACATCATATGTCAGCGTTTGAACATCAGCGTCGACATCGCCGGAGCGACGTTTCTCGCCACCGCGAGCTGCTTTCCCGAATTATTTGTCAACGTCGTCGGGACCTTTTTGACCGAATCTGATCTCGGCGTCGGCACCGTAATGGGCGGCGCGGTTTTCAACACGTTCGCGACTCCAGCATGCGGTGCGTTATCCGCACTTCATGTAAGTGATGTTTCTTTTATCGTTAAGTATCGTTAGCGCAAATATTAATAAATTCCTTTATTAACATGAATTTATTAAAATTCTTTTATTAAATCATGTTCCGATTAATAAAAAAAACCTAAAATAGTAATATTGAATTACATATAAAGTAGGATAAGAGTGTACTTAATTACATGTGAAGGTTATTCAATTGAATGTAGAAAGCTCCGCACAAAAATTTGCAGAAATCTTATTAAACGTCCATTAGATATAAAATTATGTTTAATGAGCAACTAATAAGGTTTTTGTTCTGGATGCGTGTGTATGACATGTACTTCTATCTTCCCCCTCTCTCAGATATAAATGACACTATTTTTGTCGGTTTTATTCTACTATGTTATGATAGTAAGCGGGTGATAATTTTATCGCACTTAAATCTCTTTATCAATAGACTGTATATTTTGTATTATCTTTTGTTTTGAAAATATAAAAACAATGAGAGATATAAAAACAAAGTCAAGGACAAAATTACGCATTCACAGCGAAGACTGTGAATTATTTTAACAAAAAAGATGTACATACTATATGTGTAGAAAAAACATTTGTCTTCAACCCATTTGCATCACATAAGCGCATATATGTGCGCATTTTGCCTGGCCACTATCACCAGAGCGCATATATGCGCGCATTTTACTTAGGCGTTTATCACCAAAGCGCATAGTATTTATACCAGGCCAAAAAAAATTTTGGTGATAAGAACGAATTTTTGACTTTTCTCTTTGTGATGCAAATGGGTTAAGGAAAATACGTGGTTAAATTAATTAACATGAAATTTACGTTGGATGTATGCGTAATATTAATAACCGCGATAAGGCCAAGAAATTTTCTTTTTTTGTGAAAGTACATTGTGAAACAGCAAATATGTTTTATCTCTTATTAGTAATCAAGTACACTCTTAAAAGTAAATAAAGTCAGACATAAAGAGTGTGTATATACATATATGTGTGCTCTTTACTCAAGTGTTAAATTATACCAAATATGTATATGTTATACTCTTAACATCCATGTAAAACCATGTCAACTATGTAAGATCATTGAGATTTCGTGAGTAATAATACATTTTGCAAATATATGATTACTCACGCAAGCAGAATAATTTTGGAAATTTTTAATACATATTGTACATTTTTTATCTTTGAGATTCTGATAAAAAAATTTTGCACGTATACGACACACATAATATCAACATAAATTACGTAATATTACTTGAGAGGTGTATTAAAAATTTTGTTTGTTAAATATTTATAATAGAAGAAATAAAATTTGTTCTTTTTCTTCACAACAGGCAATACCGTTAGAATGGCGAATACTAACGCGAGATTCTGTTATTTATGTAATATCAGTCGCCGTCTTGGTGATCATAATGTGGGACGGCGTGATCATGTTGTACGAAGCGATTATCCTCATGGCGCTCTTTGTTGGTTATTTGATAATATTGTTTTGCTCCAAATATTTTGCACGTTGGCACAACAAGCTTGTGCATCTGTGCACTAGCAATGCCAACAGTAAAAATTTTTCCGACCAAAAAGGTAAGTGCTGTTGTTGAATGGTTTGCAAAATTCTTTCCCAGTGTATTTCAATTTTTTTTGTTTTTTTTTTTTAACGAATATAATCGATTTTTTTTTCAATATTTTGCATCTTGTATGTACAGATCGCCTCGTGTAGGTGTTAAATGTAAGTATTCTGCGTTGATTTTTTTGTACGTCATTAGAATCGTGCGAAATACAAATATAACTGCATTTTCGTCATGCGAGTCGTGGTGTTACAGTTGTAAAATTCGAGTTCGTTGAGTTTAGATGTGCATAAAAAAAAAGATATCACAAAATTCCGCAAATATTTTCGAGTAATTAAATTAAATAAGCGTTTAAATCTGAAAGTACTCGTACGTGCTTGCAATATTTTTCACGTTAACACATAATACTTGTCGACAGGTGATGGCGTAATTCAATATTACCGTGTGTCTATATTCATCTAAGACTGTAAAAAAAAAAAAAAAAAAAAAGAGAGGACTGCCTATGTTATGAATTTTGCACTTTGTTATCCGACAGCTCCTAAAGACAAGGAAGAACAAATGCCTGACGGCCGGTACAAGCCGTATTTTCACGGCGAGCTCGTGACGGAATACAAAAAGAACGTAGCGAACATTAAAGCTCAGAAGCCTTCCGCTAACGGCGTAGAGGCACAAAAGCACGTAGACAAGGTGGAGGATTACGTAGAACCAGGTATATTGCATATTCGGAATTTTTCAACAACACGTCATAATATAAAACCAATTTACGTGATTGTCGACTCACAAACAAACGTCGTTATCTCCATTACTTTCAATTAACTGACACAAAGTGTCTCGTGCGCGGGAAATCCCGCATCTGTATATATACGTTGTATTAATGTTGCTAACATAACATCGTAAACCCAACGAGATGTATTGAATATTGATTTATTGCTGTTCACTGATCCGCTAATAAAAAGCGTATATAAGTTTAACAACACGCGCCGCATTAACTGCCTTTATTTTAGACGGAACAAAGTGTATTGTATTTATACGCTTGTCGTGTGCAAAAAAACTTATAAAAATAAAATAAAAAAAATTAAAATCTATTCTAAAAAAACGTAAATAAAAAAATAGAAAAAAGAAATAAAATTATTACCCGGTAAAAAATTTTCCATGTATAAAATTGCATGGACATATTCGGTATATATATATATAAATTTGCATAATTAGATATAATTATTTTAATTTGAAATATAATTACGGGGTCATTCGAGCCGATCGCAGGATGTTGTGCGGAAAACTGCGTATATATATATATATATATTTTTATTTATGTATAAGTATATATGAAAAATTGTTTACCGAGTATACACTAAGAGAGAATAACTAAGAGATCGTAAAAGAGGAATTACATTAAATTTTGTCAAAGAATTTTGCAAAATAAACTAAAAGTCTCTCAAATGAAAGTATTGGAGAATATCGAAAAGAGACGATTCCTAGCTAAATATAATAAATAAATTCTGTGAACGCTCGTTTTCTAGATACGCCCTTCGTATGGCCGACCGGTAGTACATTAGCCAAACTCTGGTTTTGTTTCGTTTGGCCGTTAAAATTAATCTTGTACGTTACGATACCGGACAGCAGGTATAAGCGATGGAGAAACTGGTATCTGGTAACGTTCGTCATGTGCATCGTCTGGATCGCGATATCTTCCTACCTGACGTCGTGGATGACGACCGTTATCGGCGATACCATCGGCATCCCGGATTCTGTGATGGGCATCACGTTTCAGGCCGCCGGTGGTAACATGCCCGAACTCGTTTCGATCGTCATACTTTCGAGACAAGGTAAGCTTGCATTTTTATTTAGTGGTTTGTTTTTTTTTATTATCACATAGATTATGAATTTTTATTAGAATTGTTTTGTTTTTTTACACGAATTTGCGTGAATTTTACATGTTGTATAGTTTTGCACACCAGCGTTGTCTACTTTCAATGATCTTCAGTCTCGTTTAACTTTGATATCTTTAAATTTTTCGTTCACCAAACTAAGAAAAAAAAATAACCATCTGTGTATGTCATCTGTGTGCAGTCCATATCTGTATCTAACAATATAAATTTTAGAATCTCTGATTCTCTTTAACTCAGGTAACGGAGATATGGCAATGAGCAATACGTTAGGTGCGAACACGCTCGATATTCTGTTGTGTCTCGGTTTGCCGTGGATGATAAAGATACTGATGGACGGGAAGGAGATCCAAATTGTCTCAGGTGCTTTGCGGTTCAGCGTGTTCTCGATTATCGTGTGCGTTATCGCTTTTTACGCGGTGACCGCATTCTGCGGATATCGTTTAAACAAGAAAGTGGGTATTATCTGCTTGATATTATACATAATATTTTTGGTTTTCGCTTTGCTGTTTGAATTGAATATTTTCTTCCCTGTGAATTTACCCATGTGCTCTTCCTAAATTCAATATCAAGTCGAGGTCATTGAGTTTTTATCAAATTTCTTTGTTTTTGTTTTACTTGAAAAGTAAAAGGAGATGTATATACGTAGAAATTGTATTTGTGTCAATCGTGAATCTTGTTGTTGGTTAACAAAATATTGTTTTGTACATCGTATTATAACCAAGTGCTGTGCATTTTGGAATAGATATATTTTGTAATTTAAAAAAGAAAATTGGTTTTTCACTTTCCGTTGCAATCAGACCTTACGCAATATGTTTGTGCACTCGATCTTGAAAACTTCTGGTCACCGTTGTCATTAGTGCGATTATCATTAGCGAAAAGACTTTGATAAGAGTGTTGTAAAAATAAAACATTAGTAATGATACGGTAAAAGTATACAGCACATTTTTTTAGGTTTTCAACAAAGAACTAATATTCTTCAGAAAGATGAGGGGTTTTATAATTTTTATTATAAAATTATTATAATTTATACACACTCTAGACGTGTGGTTATAATGCTGATAAGTATGAAGACGCAAAAGTGTTCTTAGAGTGCTAGTTTTGGGATGGGCCAACCCAATTGCGAATTATTATTGTTAACGTTCGTTCAAAAGTAAATTTTGTTCAGTTACATAGTTTTACGGTGTAGATGTATGAATTTGTATGCACGACGTTTGTAATTTAAACTATAAGAAAACGCGAGCCTGTGTTGAAAAACAAATTTAAAATAATATCGTTATTTATGTATATATATATATATATATACATATACATATATATTGCTCATAGGTTGCCCATCTCAAACTTAAAATACTATAGTATAAAGTACTATAGTATAAATCGGCCTCGCATAAGTAGCCGTTTTTTTTTTTTTTATATTTACAAGCGGACGGCATGACATTTCTCATTTGATATCGATTATTTTCGCATTTTACGAGAACGAAGCGATCAACATGTCATTAAACTGTTCGCGTCTATGTATATCTGTTTTTATATACATATATATATAGTACGATAAGAGTTTGTCGGAAAAAATTAATTTAGGTTTAGAAGAATTTTTGTTTACGTATATGTTACGTGTTTTTATGGTTTTTATATTATACTCTTATTGCAAGTTTTTTTTTAAAATATGAATTTAAATTATATATATTATTTTGTCATACATCTCTATAATATATACGTCATTGAAATACGCTGCTGGCGAAGAGAGAAATCATCATTCATTGGTAGTAATGACATACACAGTAATTAATAGATACACGCCAATTATGACAACAGTGGTCCCTACGATAGTCAAGGACACAGTCAGTGATATATATGTATAGCGAGATATACCCATTACAGCATTGGTCCCCTTATTCGTCCAGGGTATCACCAGTAACCGTATGGATATGCCCAATGACTATTAGGAGATAAAGGATCATGTCCTCCTGTCTCCTTAATAGACAGTATTATCATTTTATTAGGAAAAGCTTACGTAAGCTTCGATGTGTGTGTTTATTTTTATCGTGAGGCTTAATCGCTTCGTACTTGTAAAAGACGGAAACGATCGGATATAACAAAATATCATGACGACTTGAATAGTTTTTTTTTTTTTTTTTTCTTTTATTCGATACGATTAGGACTCTGGTGTGTCACAAATATTTTTAATTTTATTTTTCTTCGGATATTGCTTTTCTATGGCGTCGCAACGTTGCCATACACCTTCCACCTCTCTCGTCGCATGATAAGGATATGATAGACTTCGCCTGTGCGGCGATTTATATAGCGAGATTTATATCTATATTTGCGAACGATATATAAATAGTCGATGCGTAAAAGTAGACGATGTGGAGGGAACACAATAGGCCGCGGCAATGTTACCCACGTGTTTCTTATTTTTAAAGAAAAATTACAAAGTTTATTAAAAAAAAAAAAAAAAAACTACGTAGAAAAATAAACAGTTTTTAAAGAAGAAACATAATATATATATTTATTATGCAAGTATCTCTCTGTTTTTTTTCTACACGGATTAACATAATATAAACAATCATTTATATTATCTCACTCTTGTCTTTTTCTATATAGATACATAATTCGTGAAAACTAAAAAATGAGAAAAATATTAATTATATATACAATATAATTAGTAAAATCTATGTAGAATATGTAATCAAGCACTAAATATATAACGAGGAACAAATTTACTTGCGAAGCAAAGCAAATAGGTTCGACCCGATCTTCGTCGGGATCGCTTTGATTTTTTTTCGACATTTTAACTCGCGTCTCTTACTTGAATTATCGCGCAGCCTGACTTTTAGTTCGTGACTATCCTAAACTTTTGCTATCTCGACTAATGCGCAATCGTATTGCATTTACTAATTCGTACAACCGTAACAAAGGAACATAGCGATTAAATAACTCTGTTAAAATTTCCTCCTCTGCTTTCCCGATCTATTTGTACGCTCGCGAATAGATCGGAAAAACAATTTTTTTTTTGTTCATCAGCAGCTGTAAAATAATGCGGAGACTTTTTTCTCAGAAAAACAACGTTTACGTGGCGTGTCAAACAATATGTGATATTGTTAACTTTTGCCATTCCGCTATTTTTTTATTCTTTACGTCAGGGGCTAGCGCTGGCAGATCTCGATCTTTTGTTTTAATTTCATCTCGCTAATCTCGCTGAGAAAACTAAATTACGCGAGATGAAACTCTTCAGGCACGGTTCAGGTACCGATACCGATATATTCGTTTTTTTTTTTTTTTTTAAATTCTTAAAATGGTTTTACCACCAATGACTCTCTCTCTCGATCATAGGCAACGTAGAACGACGACGTCGGCAATAAGAGCAATTCCTTATTATGCACCATCGGCACTTTTAATATATTGTAATTGGTAAATATTTGGAAATATAAAAGAGAAATAATATATATACATATATAGATTACGTGTCGTGAGATCCTTTTACAGGTGACGATTTTTTTTTTTTTTTTTTTCCCTCGACGCGCTGTTTCTTCGCTCGAAATTCGCTATGTGTTGTTTCGTAAGCATAATTTGCAGGACGAATATTACTTTTTTTTATATTCGCATTTTACTGTGTGCGTAGTATTTGGTTTTTACTCATTATTAGCGACTTAATTCTATGTATACATATATACAGGGTGTTCCAAATTACTGGAAAATATTGAAATGGCAGGTTTTTCGGACGAAAATCTTAATACGAGAGATAATAAGACTATAATATATTAAAGTTTCGCAAATAATAAGCGGTTAAACACATATTTTTTTTTTATTATTTGTGACACGTTTTTCAAGTGATCAACTATCCGATGATGTATGAATTATATAACGTATGCAAAAAATTCGTTGCGCATACGCAAGAAACGGTATATCTCAAAGAAAAGCCTCATTGTATGATTGTTTACTCTGTGATTAAAATATTTTCCCGCGGGGAGGTTTTGAAATACCCGGTATATATAAATTTTATTATCCTCCTCCCCTCGTATATTTACACTGGAATCTATATCACTGCACCTACGGTTTTTTTTGTTTTTTTTTTTTGGACAAAAGTCTGGTTCGAAGAAACCAGATAAAAGCGTACTGGCAGCTTCCATTGTTCTGTTTTTTTTTTTTTTTCTCTGAGCACATGCAACATCGTACATTTCCAAGAGGCTTGCATTTATCATCGGTAATCGGCTTGTCAAGATTACGTGGAATGTTAATAATATTTAAACAGGTGCGAGGAAAATCTCTACGCACACAAGTAAAACTGAGTGACGTAAACTCGTAAAATAAAATATAAAATATAAAATTGGAAGATGAGAAAGAGCGTTTGATTGATTCAGCGAATGAGGGAGTTTGGAGAGAAAGAGAAAGAGAAAGAAAGAAAGAGAGAGAGAGAGAGAGAGAGAGAGAGAGAGAAGATATAGAGAGAGAGAGAGAAGAGAGAGAAAGAAACAATATTTTTTGATTATACGTATTTTTAAGTATTATTTTTCGTCTAATTTTGTTTTCCTAATTCTCTTTTTTACAATATTTGAATATATGTGTGTGGAAAAAAATATTTTTGCATCCCCATATAGAATCTCCTATTTATATATATATAATATATATATATATATATACATACATATATATACGCATTATCAATGTTTACTATAGGGCGAGAAATTTTCTCATACCTGTTACATTTGAGCAATATTTGTAACGATCAGCAAAAAGCGTCGCTTGGTAATGAAAATACGATGCGCATCTGCTGACAACTTTCTATTTACTTTGGCATAAGGGATCCGCGCGCGCGCATATGAGAAATCGAAAAAGAGATATGCTAAGAAGAGCCCATCGATACCTCGCTCAAAGATACAATACTTGTTATCGGTTCGATCGAAGAATTCGTAACGATTGTAAATGTTTTTTTTTTTTTTTTCCCCCCGTTTTTTTGAGAACGTTCGTAGCAAGTTTTGCAATCACTACCGTTTCTCACGCACGTTGCGTGTGGCGCGCTTTATCTCTGCGCGCGAGTAGTGTTTTATTTGATCATCAAACTATATATCCGAGAGAACACAGCCGAATAAATCGTTACAAATCTTGCGTTTCATACATACAGACGCGGAAAAGATAAATAATCTTTCTTCAAGAATCTCAGTGCTATCTCTTATTTACGGCAAAGCAAAGCTATGGAAAACTACAGGAAAGCGCTATCGTGAACAGTAAACAAATATAGTCTTCTATAGGAACGCGGTAATCTATTGAAAGTAAAGAGACACACTTTTTGTACACAAATGTCCGGTTGTTATTTTCTTTTTCGCAAATTCTGTTGCGTGTGTTCGCGTTGTAGTTTGCGTTTGAATTTAAAATACTTAAAAACATGTGAAAAAAATGTCGGCTAAAAAAATACGATCGCTTTCTGAAAAATTGATTACATCGAAACAAATCGGGTGAATGAAGGTGAACGGAAAATTTGAGAACAACCTGAAAAATTTTGCGAAGTAAAATTTCGCGCTCGCGTTATTTCACCGATTCGCTTTTGTCAAATCAATTAATATATCTTCTTTTTTAACTTTTCAATCAAATCAACTTTTCAACCGCATTCACCCGCTAGTTCACAGCGTGATTCCGAAAATAAGCACGAAGTTTATCTTTGTATCTTTGATCACGTTGTACTTTTCATTTACTTGAAACATACGAACGTTGTATATTGAGCTTTTTTTTCAAACGTAACGCAATCATCATTCTCAAATCACTGGCGACAAACGAGAACAGAGAAGAAAACAATCAAGAGATAGCAACCGGAAAAAAGAAATCGGAGAAAAAAAGCGCGAAAATGTAGTAAAGAATTATGTATCGCGAATGCCGCTAATGAAGTGGCGCATCAATATTTTTTTTTTTTTTTATTATTAGGGATAAGAATCTTAAGTAAGAGTATGTGTGTAAAATGGTTGCGCTGTGTGTTGATATCATCTTTGATAAAATTCTTAAGACCTACGATGCAACTTGGAGATGATAATCGACATGCTCTCTCTGCCGTCCGAATGTCAATTATATAATTCGCAAATCCCTTTTTTTATTCGATCAGTTAAGTATAGTAGTTAAACAAATGTATTTCGGTGGACACTCGAGACACTCGAAATCCCTAATTAATCCGCTATGAAAGTAGCAAACGGGTTTACTAACGTTACAGGAATAATGAACACTCGAAACTGCGAATAAAATCTCATCGACGATATTTAGATTTCTCTGGTCGGAAGAGAGAAAAACGGAGATTCACAACGGAGAGACTCTTGTAACGGGACGTTAAGTCTGATCGCGTTTTTTTTTTTTTTTTTTTTTTTTTTTTGAGAGAGAGAGAGATGCTTTTAAAAGCCACGTGTGATTCTAGTTAACAAGATATTCGTGCGAGATCGCGTTTTTTTTATTTTAGTTTTTATTTACTTCCTACATCCACGAGTATCCACAGAGCAACATATTGGAGAGAAATGTAATATCTGAAAATTTACAAGACGAGCCAAAAGTCACCTTTTGAATTTTCAGTTATTATTTTTTTTACGAGCCCTTGACGTGTTGGTTTTTTTTTTTAATTATTATTATTATGAGAGACAAAAAATATACAAATTGGTAAAGGAGTTACATCCCCTCCCCCCCCCCCAACCCCCGAGCACGGAGCGCGTTTTGCCGAGTCGAGGCAAATTTTCTTGGATGTTGATCGTTAATTAGTAAGTATTGTCATCGTGACTCGTGTCGTACGTGTAGTTAATGTAAAACTCGACCTCGTGTATTCGCGACCAGAAGAAAGAAACGGACACACACACGCAAATCATCAGTGTACGTGTCCTCACTGTGTCGGTCCTTGGGCTTTTTATGACAATACCGAAAGTAAGAAGATGGACCGCCGATCATCTACAGGCTTCACTGTATCTCGCAGAAGGGCAATTTATTGTTCACTTCCTTAGTCTGCTCTTGATCCTGACTGTTGCCGCCCTCGCTTTTCGGACTACCCGCCTCCTCCAGGGAACCCCCACCGCTTCCGTGGGGGCACATTGATTGTCATCTAAGCGCCAGAGTCGATATCATTGGTGGCCGGGACGGTTTGTTATCAAGAATTCTCTCGATCTCACTCATTATACTCGCGTTCAATTTCGGAATAAGCTGAAAATCAAAAAAAAAATCGAAAAAAAAAAACATGTATAAGTGACTTACGAAGACTCTTTTGAGATTAATTAAATTATAGCTGCTCGTGTTACCTGCAAGCTTTGCAGACTCTCGTACAATTGATCTATATTGGATGCACCGAGCAGAAGGCACTGAACACTTTCATTCTTTAACGACCACGCGATAGCCAGTTGCCCAAAAGAGCATCCCAATCTTTCGGCCAGAGCGCACACATCTCGCAATTTGTCCGAGTACTTCCGAGTTTCTTCGTCGGCGGATTTGTCTTTCCACGCGTACTCCTGCGCAAAATAATCGTGAACTTTGAAATACAAACTAGAATAAACTAATAATAATAAGAGTTTTTTAATTTTTATATAAATATACCCGGGAAAAAATGGATTAGATCTAACTTAAATTTAACGAGATAAAAAAAATGGAAAAATTAATCTAATTAGATCCAAATTAAATCTAAATAGATATAAAGTATAGATCTAAATAAATATAAAGTAGATCTAAATAAATATAAGCAGATCTATTAAATTTACACACTTTTATATATTATTAAATCTACTTTAGATCTACTCAGATCTACTATAATTAAAACTACTCTGATTTAGTTAGATTTGAGCAGATCTGAACAGATCTGAGGTGATCTAATATATAATTGATCTGAGTAGATCAAGAGTAGATCTAATAATAAATAAAAATGTAAATTTCCATAGATTTACTTTATATTTATTTAGATCAACTTTATATCTATTTAGATTTAATTTGGATCTAATTAGATCTATTTTTCCATTTTTTTTATCTCGTCAAATTTAAGTTAGATCTAATCCATTTTTTCTCGGGTACGTGATTAAAAATGCGCGAGATATATATACGAACATATTATTTGTAATAAACCAATTCATACCTCCTTGTATAAAGACTGAGTTTCATCTTCGGTCCAACTAAACGAAGAGTATTTATTCTAAAATCGTAAAGAACATTTGTGTATTTCTCTCAAAATTTCGTGTATATATAAAATAACGAAAGAGAAATATTATAACGACGTGAAAACTTTAGTTTTTTTTTTTTTTTTGAGAAAAAATATAGATATATATATATATATATATATAATATTTTTGTATTCTCTGTGTACATACTTTATAAGAGGATCTAGAAAGAAACGATACTCCACAATCTTCCGGCTTCGAAGAAACCATTCCAATAGTAACGGTGGACCATGCCATTAAACCGACACCTATAAAAAAAAAACGGAATGAATTTGCTTTTTTTTGTTTGATATTGTCGATATACGTTGTTTTAATTATTAAAATTTATATTTTGCAATTACAATAAAGAAAGATTAGCAAATTAGTAAATAAACTAATGAGTTACCGATTTTGTTATACAATTCTGGCATGTAGAGTTCGGGTTTCTCTCTGTAAAACAGATGATACTCCGCTTGCTCGACGATCGGCGTCACGCAATTAAATTGTCGACAATTCGTATAAGCTTCCATAATTTCAACCGGCGTCCATCGCGACGTACCCCAATACATTACCCAACCTTTGCTTATAACGTAATTCATAGCACGAACAATCTCTGAAATAAGAATCATGCGAGTGCGCGAGATATAGAAGGACGTGGAATTTGTTTGTTGTGAAAAAAATTGTCAGATAAATTTATAGATAATATATATATATATATAATATAGATAATATATATATACATATATATACGTGGTATATATAAATCGCTATGTTTCTTTATTATAAATACTTGTTAAAACTTAATAAAAAAATAATCTGTTAAAAAAAGAATTATATAGATATATATATATTCTAAAGCGTGGGGATAAAGGTAAAATAGCTAAGTAATTCTTGCATACATTTCTCACGATAGTGAAGCACACATTTAACGCGATACATAGACATATATGTATATATATATATATATACACATATATATATATATATATATATACATAGAAGTTTACATGTATTTGAAGATAAAATAATAATAATGTACAGTATGAAGTATACATACACTTTTGCGACAATAAGTTGTCGCATTTTCACTATAAAAAGACATAAGAGAGAAAGAAGCCATACGGTATAACTATTACGAATATATATATATATGTAGTGCAACTGCCAAACATCAAATCGTCAATATAATAGAGATTGTCCCCTCGTAATTTCACTTTCTTATCTCAAATTTTTCGTCATGGATAAAAAAAAAAAGTCCACAGCACGTCCTTGAATTTTAAAAACTTCCCTTGTGAGAATATTGAACTGTGTCGCACATAAGATAAAATTTTTATACAGATATATGTGTTTGTGTACGTGTATATTTTATATCAGAGTTTGAATTGAAGATTATTTTTGTGAAATTATTATTCTATCACGTAACGTTATTTGATTTTGTTTTTTTTTTGTTTTTTTTTATCAAAATCGTGTTTCACACACGTGTAAAAGAAAAATACTTTCGATCCCATCGACACAATTCATTTCAATTTCAAACCGCAAAAAAATCAGTTGTATTGTTTTAACCTTTGCATTTTCAATCTTGATAAATAATAACTTTTACCTTTATCCGTGAAAAAAGCAGAATTTCTTTGTAAAAAAAATAGATATGTTTGTTTATTCAAGAAAAAGATCATTTTCAGGTTGATTGTTGCTATCAAGTATCGATTACGATAGAGAACGAAATGTAAAATAAATATGCAAACGTTCTTTCTACTTATAATAAAAATCGAGCGCGTATTACCATGAGTATTCCGTATATATATATGTATGCTTTGTGCAATGTGAAGCACCGCAAATATTTGAACGATGGAATAAGCGAAGGAAGGATTTTTTAATAATTTTTTCGAAAATATCACTCGCAAAGAGTAGAACATAGGAGGAAAATTACCTTCCATCGGACACATTGGATCGACTTTGTGGATCATGACAATGTCGATGTACGACAGTTGCAGCCTGACGAGCGAAGCTTGCACGGACTCGATAATGTGTTTCCGCGATAGCCCGCGACCCTCAGTCCTATCAAGAATGGTTAGATATTATCAATGTTGTTTATATAATAAATTACAAACAAATTAAGATTAATCAGAAATATGGGAAATAAGTGAGAAGTATACAAGTATGTATGAGAGAGCGTATGCGCGCGCGACACAACTTTGACGTTTTTTTTTTTTTTTTATATGTATATAGTTTATAATGGCACAAAACACGGAGAGAGATGAATTGAAATAACGGCAAACAACGGCTTCTGACGGAAACCTAGTTATCGATCCACATGTCAAGGCGAAGCCTCACAAACAATATTCACATCGTCCACTTAATATTAAACGAGGTCGTCTCGTACCACCGATTTATTTATGCACAACGACTTTTCATTGAGCTCCAGAGCTTTGAAAACAATAAATCGTAATACGATATGTGTGCGCATAGGGGTTACCACCTTACGCGCGATAACTGTTGTGTAATTGTTATTCAATTTACTTAATAACGTGCCGTTACGTAGAAAAGGTGTTTTAAGAAAAAAATTTCTCCCAACCCGTATATTGGTCGTAAAATACGCGATGCGCGTGATTGACATCAAGCGAGATACGAGATTCAATTACTGCCGTTCGAATTAATAATAAGAGAGAAATTTTCAACCATTTTTTTTCAACTTGTGACAACAAACACAAGTCCGTAGAAATTAATTCAGTTTTTTTACCTAAATGTTTTCATTTTGTGTAAACTAATAATCGTAATACGAAGTTTATATACGTATATTTTATGTATGTGCGCACGCGATTTAAAAAAAATTCGAAATACCAATTCGTAAAAGTGCAATTTTACGAAAAAAACGTAACATGTCGACGATATATATGTTTCTTTCTATTTTTATTTATCTGCGACAGTTCGGTACAAGCATCACACATGTAATATTCACGAATATTATCCACATGTAGTTCCTACATATAGAATGTACACGCTAATATACAGGAAACGCGAAGAGTATAATAATGATTAGACAGGTCATAGAGAGTGAGTGTAAATTTAATTACACTGAAGCCATCGATCGAGAAGCACAGAGATAGAAAAAAAAAAATAAAAAAAAAATAAAAAAAAACATAAAGACGCGCTTTCGCGTGCAGCAGCGTTACAACACATGGAGAGCAACCGACGACACGAGAACCAACTACCAGAGCTCCGCTATCATCATCAAATACTCGCTAATACACTACTATCACGACGAGACATCACCACACAATTATATAAGTACGACCGATGCGAATATGCGGCACGGCTGGCTCTCTACTCACTTGGTGTTCCAGTAGATCTTCGTCGTGACGACGTAGGTGGAACGATTCCAGGCGCGCCTCAGCAAGATACGACCGAATTGGATCTCAGCGCGATGTCCGCTGTGGGCCTCGCTCAGGTCGAACACGTTTATCCCGCTGTCGTAAGCGAGCGCAACCACGGCCTCCGCGGTCTCCTCGCTGCCGCAGCCGCCCACGCCGAAGGTGGTCCATGTTCCTGCATTGTGCGCGCAAAACACACACAACATACGCACACACACAAAAAAAAAAGATCATCAATCAAAACCGGCGATCGCCGTTTCCTTCCCGCGAATTCATCTGCGGAATATCATCACGTGCACGACACATATGTACGGTTATTACACTTTGCGAAAGTGCGACTTTAAAATCGGCACAATTTTTTCCTCATGCAGAGATAAAAGTTTTTAACAAAAGAGATATATATATATATATATATATATCCTCCAAGTGTGAATAGTATAAGTACATATAAGGAAAATAGAGAAAGAAAACGAGAGAGAGACAAAGTTGTTCAAAGTGGAACAATGTCCTTTAAGTGTCAATAATAACTACAGCTTTTTTTTTTCCCTTATACGTTACGCGCGCGGAGAAAAAAATGCGTTTCTCTCCTATATAAGCCCCGTTTTCTTTTAGCCCCGCTGAAAGTAAAACGGCGCGTATAGAAGGGAAATTTTTTTTTTTTCCCCCTCGCTCGCGAAACACAATTCCGCGTGTTGATCAGTGTAAGTATGTAAGTTGCGCATATACAGTGCGCGGCAAATGAATTGGTTCCGTGTGTGAGAAAGAGAGAGAGAGAATAAAACAGCGTATATAAAAAGGAAAAAGAGAGAAAAAACTCTTTTCCTTTTTTCGCGAAACCGATTCATTGCCGTGTATATATACCGTAATACAAAAGAAGTACAAACGACGGAGCCAAAAAGCACCGTTGAAAAAACCACATCCTTGCAATGTGCACAATCTGAGATATTTGTACAACGTTGTATTTGAAGTTTATAAAAAGGCGTAATTGCACACATACGGTATATATACATACATATATATCGAAAGACATATTGCTGAATAAACATTATACGTATATCGTTTGTGTTAGTCTGTGTGCGCGCGCGCTTGTTCTCTTAAGATCAGACGAAACGAGTAGCTCTTAGTGTTTACATTTGCATTCGCACTTGCAGAAGCGCAGCTAAAGTCAGTCTCCGCAGAGATACCCGGTTGTGTCTCGAAATAGCGTTATACGCAAAATATGTGAGAATGAGAATCGTGGATCTCTCTGGACCGACAATGTGTCTCTCCGAAGTGAGTTAACGGATGTTTAAAAACAAATCCCGGCCCGGATAGATAAAAGTGGACGCATTCCAAGATCGATTTTGCGCGATATATGCATCTTTCGCGAAAATGTGGGTCTGGGTTAAAATCGGAAAGGAATTAGGATGGAGGGTGAGAGAAATTCTTGTTTTTCAACGCGCGAGAGAACTTAGAGAAAATTGCGACTCTACTGAAAGTGGGAAATACATTCGGCGTACCTAATCCAACATTGGAAACACGTAGACCGCTTTTGCCCAAGTTGCGGTAGCGAATACCTGGCGAGGGATGCTGCAAACGTTGCGCTTGTGCGGCTATGCAGCTAGTCAGTAGCTGCTCCTTCGTTCCGGCCGTGTTACTACAGTGTACACCTGAGTCCGCACCACCGCCGCCTCCGCCGCCGCCGCCGCCGCCACCGCCTCCGCCGCCGTTGAACTCTTCCATGCAATCCAGACTCGCTATGGGTGCACGGCAGCTACGCACACAAGATGCACACAAATTATTATCGCTTATATCAATTGCCTTGGATAAAGTACACACAGTCAATCGTTTTTGTGGTCGGACACAGAGATAATAAATCATGTGACTCCGCGCGCGCGGTCAATGAATATCTCACGGAACGTCCCAGAAAATACATGACATCCCGCGAGATATTGGATATCGATAATCCTCCTTGGCGAAAACGTATTGCCGCAGAGGTCACGAGGATTACGGTCGCTGATTTCTTAAAAGTTTTTCCCTCGACTTGTGCATTTAATTTCGGGTAATTCTTTTAGAATGTGTTTTTTTTTTTTTTTTTTTTTTGTACATGTACACGTGTAAACTTATTTATTTTGTTATATACAGTTTAGTTAGCGAACGGATCTGTGTGTCCGTGAAGTTTATATCTATACTCGAAATTAATTTCGTTAGAATTTTGGAAATTTTGAAATTTAAAGAGATTCGTAATATATTTGTCTTTCGTATTGAACTCTCTCTCTCTCTCTCTCTCTCTCTCTCTTGGTTTCTAGCGAGTAAAATATTCAGTTGTTCTGGAACATCCTGTTCGGTATCATTTCATCTTGTCATGCGTCACCGTTTAATCAAGTTATGCATTGCCTGTACGCGCGCACAATATATGTATATATATATTGCATGCATATACTGATATGTAGGTAACACGTGTTCTCTCTCTCTCTCTCTCTCTCTCTCTGTGCACGCATACATGGAGTTTCGACGAAGTTTTGACTAAAATTGCTCGGTGTCGAAAAATAAAATCAAATACTATCGAAAATATTTTTTACGTGATATGGCATAATTCATACAATATTTAATAAATATTATTAATTAATATATTATTGATATATAAAGAATTTTATAATATTATATACAATTAAACGGGCGATTTTACATATTAACACGCACACACGCACACATACTTATATTTAAATATCTCTAAATAAAACGCGATCGCAAATAAGCCAACAATCACTGCGTGTAGCGATTGTAAATGATGAAAATATGACGTTAAAAATGTATACGTATTTTTTTTTTTTTTTTAATCAGGGAATTATATTCCGCGACCTATAAAACCGTAACCTTGTGTGGATGATCAATGTTAATTTCTAATTGCAATGTGATCCACGCAATTGTCGGTGATTACAAAACTTCGTTACGATGGATTTTAATTAATGCACTGCTTTTGAAACGAGATTAAAATGACGACTATAAATACGGGAACTGTGTGTATCAATCAATCGTTTGCGTATTTATATCGATATCAATTATATATGCATGTAGTAATCAATATGTAACGTCACTCGGTTATGTATAATTCAAGTGCTTGAGCGAACATTCAACGTCTCTCTCTCTCTCTCTCTCTCGCTTGTCAAGATTGTTCAAGAAAAAACTCGCATCATTAACTCGGGTTAAAGTTAAGCCTTGACGCGAGAGAGAGGAAAGAGATTCACTCTTCTCCTTCTGAGATCGTAATAATCACCTACAATATGAAGAGAAGAAAAAGGAGAACGCGTAACCCGAGTTAGCCTCTAAGTGATAATGTAAGTGCAATTACCGAGTCTAAGTATAATCTCGCCACACTTCGGTGCTTCGTAGCTCGTGTTTTAATTCGCCTCGAGTTGGAAGCGATAGCGTTAAAAGTGTTTACTCTACCGTAATCATCATCATCATGTTGCGTGTCGGTCCGTCATTCTTCATTAAATTAGATATTTGTGTGCAAATTTTGCGTATTAAACAAGCGCGAGTTCGCGTTTCGTTTTTTCAGGGTCCGGTTCGATCGCTCCGCGCGCCAGCGTAATCACAAAATCTCGTTTCTGTAAGAACGTCTAGACGCGTTGTACGGTTTGTGCACCTTTAAAAGTTAAAACTACCCCCTTTCCCTCCGTCACCGCGATGTGGGTCACCGGTGCGGGAATGACGCGGCGCACGATTGGGTTTCAGGTCGGTGGAATATCGCCTCACACACGGCCCGGCACACCGCCTCTGTGTGTGTGTGTGTGTGTGCCGACACTACTTTGTCTGACATTACCTAGGACGCGATCACTTTGCGAGTCGCACACACAACGGTCGCTTGATAATAATTATAAATCCCCCCTGCCAAAATATGTATATCTTGTCCAATATAATCGTCCGCAAAGCGTGGTCGTATGTAGAACGTCGCTTTAATCGATATAATCTTGCGATATTACCTCTCAACAGAGAGTAGAAAAAAAAAAAATCTAATATGTGCAACATGAAATCTAAACAAAAAAAAATCTTTTGAGCGACTGGTGCGTTTCCGTATCGTTTGAACAAACAGCGCGAAATAACGAAGAATAAATCTTGCAAAGGTTGATTAAATTATTAACTCGCACAATTCTCTCTGGAAAGAGAAGCGAATAGAATAAAACACTTACGTTCTCTCTCTCTCTCTCTCTCTCTTTCACTTGAAAACAGTTTAATACATTATTCTTCAAATTTTTCAATCAAACAAATTGTTTCTCCGAACTAAGGATTTTTTTTTTTTTTCAAAATATTTCAAAGCCGATTCGTTCAGTTGTTTATTGTGCGACCGAATAAATTGAATAAAAAATCGTTGGAAATTTCGAGATACGGTTACCCCGTCTTTTCAAGCGAACCGAACGCGGATATATTTCACAGATGACCCATATCGCCGTGACGGTCTTTTTTTTTTTTTTTTTTTTCTTGTCAGTGCAAACTCGTTCCTGTACCTACGCGAATATCGACGGGGAATATCGTTTTCTCCGCAAGTGGTGCGCCGAGGAAACTCTCCGAAATTCTCTCTCTCTCTCTCTCTCTCTCTCTTGTGCTTTTCTTTTCTCTCTTTCTCTCTCCACGAAACGTTTTTTTGTTACTACGTACCGATAAATTGTAGGCAGTGGATAAGAATCGTCGTCCTCCATACTGCTGTTCGTATTAGCGTTGTTGTTTGTATCATTTCCTGCTGTTGAAGCATTGCCAAGATTGCACAGCATTAATCGCGACATTACTAAACAGTTTTTTTTTTTTTGACTAGCAGTTTATCGGAACACACTTTGAATTGGGCCGATCGAGCCGAATATTTTATCACGATATGGATATACCATGTACAGACTTATTTAACGATTTACACTTCGCAACTTGACTCCCCTAATGCGGTAATACTCGTTTTTTTTTCTCCTATTTTGTTTTTTGTTTTTTTTTGTTTTGTTTTTTTTTTATTGACTTTTGCAATTTATCTACCGCGTGGTCTCTTCTCTTATCTTTTCGCTCGTTCTGTGCGCATTCTCTTTGGTCTAACACTTTGTCGCAACCGATGCATGACAAAACGGGCGTCGCGATCGTATCTTCCCCCCCAGAAAAACGCACGTACGTATTATATATATACAGGACTACGATAGAGATCGAATTTTAAAGCAGATTTTATCTCGCGACAATCATACATACGATTAGATGTTTTTTTTTTTTTTTTTTTTTGTTGTAGGCACTAATTGAATTTTTCTCCCTTCCGTTTATATATCAAATCACGCTTAGGCACCACTTTGAGGAGCATTTAAACTTCAGACAGATTCCGTAGAGAGTAGCCGGGCGCACAATTTCCACGTCCTCCGCATTCAAAGAAATGACACGAGACCGATTGGAGATCTCTTTTCTCACGCGGTGATGACTATGTATGTATATATATATACATATATATACATATATATATATATAACGCAGTGAATCAAGTCAAGATCGAAATCGACTTGGCGAGGAATATATTATACAGGCTAAAGAAGAAGGGAAATGATCGATATGAAACTACGATATGTGATTTGATTTCTAAACAGCCTGCATCGGGCCTCGGTATTTTGTCGCCGACGAAAGATGTATATTATAACGATGCGGTGCGGTGCGATGGCAAACGATCGCGGCTTGCGAAAAGCGGCGTGGACTACAATTTCGTGTTGCGATCCGTCATCATCATCATCATCATCATCATCATCATCATTATTATCATCATCATCATCATCATCATCATCGTCATCGTTATGTTACTCTCTCTCTCTCTCTCTCCCCGACTCAGTGTGTCACTCCGTCATTTCACCTTCCGCAGTGGTATATCACGAGGACCGTCGTCCGCTAGTGCTTGTTGTGTCCGCCGTTGTAACGCGCGTCGTGTCGCGTCGGGTCACGTAACGCGTAACGCAGCGACGATAACGGTCATTATTATCGGACGGCCGCGGATCGGATCCGAACATAAAGCACAATGTACCTGCGAGATGGCAATCGTTCCCTGGAAACCGCGGAGCGATGCGACAATAATGGGTTTTCATAAAGGAACACACACAAATCGCGAACAAAACATCGGTATTTGTACATATATATATATAAATCGGGATATTATATTTCTCCGCCTGATAGAGACGTCCGGAGAAAAAAACGTTTTTTCTCCTTGCGCGCGCGGGTACAACACCTTGCACACACACACACACCGCGCTCGGACACCCGCTCGGCGACTTTCCACCTTTCCCTGGTAACGGAGCGCGATGCAACTCCCGGTTGCACAACCCTCTCCACCCTTTCCTACCCTTCTTTCGCTCTTACCCCTCGTAGGGGTGGTATGGTGTAGGCGCTGTGCGCGCGCGTGTTTTCCGCTCCTCCGACGTGCGCGCGCGCATTTCCCCGACGCGCCAAATCCGCCACCAAGTTTTCCGGTCCCGAAGAGAGCGCATGACGAGAATCCGCACAACGCACACCCGCACGGAAACTCCCAGTCCCGGCGTCTATCTCTTTCGTGCCCCTCGCTTTTTTCGACGTACCTTTTTGTAATTTGAGATTAAGCAATCGCGCGGTCGAACTCTGTGCGTTGTGATAAAAAAAAAAAAAAAAAACAAGAAAACGAACGTGTGTCGAACAAACGCGTCTTTAACAGAGATAGGCGCGTTACAGAGTGTTCTTTCGAGCACGACGGAGCGACGATTGTACAACAATCAAAAGGATATTGATTTTACGACGCGAATACAAATGAAATCTCAATTTTGTCGACAAGACTTTTTGCGCTACACTTTTAACTCGCATTTGCACGTTAAAAGTAAGCATGTGCGCATTGGTGCGCAGTTATCGGGGACACCTTGTATCAAACTCGCGCGCGCACCCAGACGATATATATATATATATTCCTCCTTTTGGTTGCGCGCGCGCAGACACACACGCATGCACACGCGGAAGGAAAGAGAGAGACAGAACGCCATAAACAGCGTGTAGGAAGAAGGGTTTGTGAATCAACGGTCTCAATAGCAACGCCGCATTGCAGATCTGCCGCGCCGACCTGCAACTGACCCCTCACTAACTATTATACCTAACTGCACTTATAGTTATCGCACATGTGCCGTATGCAGACTCCGATGCGACAAAAATAACAGCATTTTTTCGCGAAAACAAAAAACATTACTTATCTTAACAGGCTTGAAAATCAAAAAAATGTGCGTTTTAACATCGCACAGAGAAAGAGAAAAAAAATGTGGAGACTTCTTTTCGAAAGAACTTACGTGAGAATCGCTATTATTATTCGCACACTATAATGCAAAATCCATTTCGCTTCGCGATAACGCATATCGATTGTAATATGCGGATTATGTACATCTAAAAATTGTTCGGTGGCGTCGTATATGGGATCTCGCGACAATGACTTTGGCTATTCGAGTCAAAAATAACGCGAAGAAATGGACCGAAAGAACGACGGTCACGCGTTTCTGATAGATCATAATATCTCTGCTAACGCGAAATACTCATCAAGCTTGTTAATGTAATTATATCAATTACAAGAATGTCTGTTTCTTTTTGAAACACAAAAAGCACACAGACTCTCACACACACATACCTGCAGAGATGAACCGATGGAGCTCGCGACGCAAAATTTATATCAGAGAGAATTATATTTGGGAGCGTGTTATAGCGGCGTGTCTCATCCAACTCGAATCTTTTCATACATTGCGGAATCTGCGAAGAGCAGCCAGAGACGTTAGTCCACTCGGCAAACTCGGTCGTTGAATCCGTGCCAAGGTTCGAATTTTCACGGAATTTTCGCGTGTACAAGAGAGAGAAGGGTCGTCTATATAATATCAAATACAATTGCGTAATATGCGAATTATATGTTTTTCTTATTGCTGTCATATTTAAAAAACAAAAGCATCAGCTAGCAAATACGCAAACGTGATTATTTTTTATTTATGCTGACCAGCTGGTAGCCAATGGTTAGTATATATATATATATATATATATATATATATATATATCAAAATCATTCTAGCTTATAAATGCAACAGCGCGTAAATATTCTTCCCTCAATGAATCTATTTGGTGGCGTGCATGTACACACACTCGCACACACACATAAATGTATGTTATTAAACACAGAAATTGTGGACACAGGACTCGACTTACTGAGACTGCAGTATCTTAATAACTTATTACAGTACTTTATTAAACATTAAGTTACAGTTTTTATCTAGACACATTTACGGTCACAAATTTTGCGTGTGTCGCAATGTGAGAGAGTGTAGTATCGCAGAAAGGTAATCGCGCGCGCGCACACGGTTCGTTTTTACCATCTCATCAGCTTTCATGTGTGTACGTGTTTTTCACTTTGTGTAACAAGCTCGCAAGAATAAGGAGACGCACACACACACACACACACACACACACACACATCGCACGCACACCACGCACATACTCGCAATTACGCGTACACACATGATCGAAACAAAAATGTTTTAAAACAGTCGATTCGTATGAGGAGTTTGCTGTGATATATCGTACGAAAGTGCGTTTTTAAACGACGTTTTTTATTCCGCGGCGGAGACTCGCACTCGATGGCAAACTCTCTGTGCGTATACAACACGATTGTGTCTCAACACGATTTAAAATCCGATGACGCGTTTTCACTCACACATTCTCACGGTTTTTTTATACACTGATGTGATCGAGAGATATGCTATGTGATATGTTAAAAAACGGAGAACGGCAGTCTTCCTCACGCTTCCGTACAATTAGACACAATAGCGGAGCACCTCTTCTGCGATCTTTTTTTCCGCTCTCGTGTCACAACTGTCAAACTATATATCCTTCGAGGGTTTTCAACGCGCGCGTTTTGTTTTTTTTTTTTCTTTTTTTTTTTTTTAGACCCGCCGTAGAAACGCCGTCGAACTTCCGGCTCTGAGATCCGTGGCTCGTTACTGTGGCTAATCATAAATTGTTGATCTTTCGGCGCACACAATATGGCCGTAAGCACAAATGATCGTTACTTTAAAAAAAAAAAAAAAAAAAAAAAGGATAAGCGAAGAAAAGAAAACAGATTGAGAAGAAAAGAAAAAAAAAATAGAAGATCTATTCTAATAAAACTCGCGAGAAAAACATGAGAAAACGTAAAAGTATGTAGATATAATGTAAAGAAATGTTAATATTGAGAAATAACATGAATTCTCTGTGAATATTCGGACGTTAAATGAGGTGAGAGAAAAGAAAAGAAGAGAAAAAAAAACGAAGAAAAAGGAGAAGAGAAGAAAGAAAACGGAGAGAGAGAAAGAAATAGCAGTAAGTAAATACAAAATACATTATTGTCATGGTTTCCTAAACATGATGATATTATTAAAAACTGTACACACGGTGGTTGGTCCCGTGTAGCTGGAAATAAAACACCCCTCGCACTGATGCAGGGTCTCTCTTGGTAAGTTTTTTTTTGGGGAGAAATAATGTTTTTCCGCGGCGCGGAGTTTTGCAGGCAGGAACCGCGCCCGGGTATCCTCTTTTTTTTTTTTTGTTTTTTTTTATGCGGCCGGGTTTATCGTCCAGGCATAAGGGAGGATTACCCGGATCACTTTACCGTCCTTTGGCAGGTGGGTAGATTTACCATGAAGAATACGTTGAGTTCGATCAACGACGCGAGTATGAGGAATACGGCGTACATGCACAAGCAGGCACGGCCCACTTTACGATCGAGCTGAAACTTGTTGGAGGCGAACGCAATGTACAGTAGCATCAGTGTCGACAATAACGATATCGCGCTATATTCCAGACCGCCTGAGTTTATGCTGATGTAATGCCGGCCTGGTTGCGTGGGCGAGAACGACGACTTGATCAGCCAGGGTAGTCCGAGACACAGCAATATGTCGAACGTGTTCGAGCCGATTGAATTACTGATGCCCATGGATCCGTGTCCTGAACAAGAACGAAAGTTCGACAACGATGAGAGAAAAAAATTGAAGACAAAATGCTACCCCATGTAGCTCGTTTCTCGCGGTTCGGTGCGTTCACTCGGGGGGGGGGGGGGCTTTTTTGTTTTGTTACACTCGGATCTCGATCACGGCGTGTGCTCTTTCCCAAAGCCCCGAGTGCCATTTGCAGTCTTTCACAACTTGACCTAATTGTTTTCCCTCCGCGGTGCGTCGGAGCGCGAGTATTTAACGACTTTTAATTTTTCACCACAATGATATCTCGAGTTCTTCGGAAGTTTTTTTTTTTTTTTGCACTTTGCTATGAATGTGGCTTGGCTGTTAATGTGAGACGAGTGTAAGATTCAACTTTTTTTCAATTTTTTGCGTCGTATTCAGATCCGAATGTAGCAATTGATAAGATGCGTATAAAAAATGTTTTGATACCTTGTTTCGCGACAATCACGCTCGATACAGCTTCGGGTACGCTGGTTCCCGCCGCGAGAAAAGTGATGCCCATCACGGAATCTGGTATTTTCAGCGTGTCGCCTGGAACAAGAACGAAATATGTGCACGTCGTGCAAACTTTGAGGAACCACTTTTTTTTATTTCACGCAAACTCTCGTGACATCTTATATCTCGCAACGTGTATCTATATGTTCTATTAACGCGAGATGTCATGTTCTTGCTTTGTCTTCTCGACACTCTCGCACCACGTACATATTTATACGACTGAACTTGGAAATTAAACTCTAATTCCGAGCTGTGATGCGAATAAAATGTTAAAACAAAATTTTGCAAAAATTCCAACAACTTCTCTCGAGTGTCCACTAATATATTTAATGAGAGAAAAGAGTGCATTTTTAAAAAGTGTATTTTTAATGATTTTTCCAGAGACTTTTTAAAAAGCGCCAAAAATATCTAAATTAGAATTAAAAAAATCATATCGTCCCCACTCACCGATTATAGTGATCATCCACGCCACCACGTAACTGAGCGATCCGATCCATATGATGCACATCACGAACGTTACGGGAAACCAATTCTTGAATCGGGGTTTCTCGCAATCGGGGATTGTACACATGAATACCAGATGAATGGGCCATGTTGTGACCCAAGCGGTCTTTCTCAACCACCCGGCGTGCGCCGGCCAAACCAAGAGCTCGAAATCATAATCTGTCGCACAACACGGTTACGAAGTGTTTACATACGGTACCAAATGAGTACGCTTTTATTTTTCCCGTTTTGGAGAGATGTTTATCGAAACACAAACGTGTAAACTAACGTGTAACGTAACAGAGATTTCGGATAATCAGTTTCTATAAGTTTGACCAATCGATCTTTGATCTCGACTCCGATATTTGACGTTTTGATGGAAATTCCCATTCGCATTCGCGCGAGTAATTCGATCGATCAGAGTCACGGTCTCCCGTAATATTCCGCTTCTTATTTAAGTAATATTTGTGAATATTCTCAACGTTGACAGATACGCGACGAAAGATATCAATGAGACAAATTGATAACCAGATGACACGATTTGATTAGATTAGAGATTAGACGAATGGTAAATATAATTATTTGTTGCAACTGTGTAGGAGCAAAATTGAATGACGATGATGTTGCATATTTTTGTTTTTTTTTTTTTTTTAATAAAAAAACTTTCGCATAAACTCGTTGTATAATATAATCGAAGATATAGGAGATACAAAACGAACAAACTTACTAGGATCTAGATTCTCTTCTTGCGTTTTTGTGCCGCCATTTTGCAGCGGCACGTCGGTGGTCGCGATCTGCTCCACCCGATTTCCGGGCGACTTGTCCGGTAAATGAATGTCGCTGGAATCTGAGAAATACGTACGCTATATTTTACACAATAAGATATCACTGAAGTATATATATCAACATAATCTAAACGCATTCGCGTTTAACAATCTCACATTTTTTATAGACAATTCGCGACACACACTTGTTGGCGTCTTTGTTTTTGTGTGACAAAATGAAATCAATTTATTTATGACAAAGATAATAACGATTCAGCGATAACCAGTGTGTTTTTTTTTTTTTTTTTTTTTATCTGTATTACTAATTAAAGCTTCGCGTAAAAAAAAAAAAAGATATACGGTCTCACCTGGCGCAACTCGTCGACAATCCGTAGATACCTGATCCTCGTTCGTACGGAATCTCGTACACCGCTGGAACGATTTATCCCAATACATCACGGCGATATAAACAATATATAAGAGCACCAAAGTTAACGCTTCGTACCATTCCACTCGCTCGTCATGTATAATGCATATTAAAATGGCAACCGTAACACCGTAAGCGAGACAATCTCTGCTAACGGGCCACCAATCCAGAGGCACCACCTGCACGTGCGGAAACGTATTTATTACAATTTACAATAGAGAAATATTTTGATTTTTTTTTTTTTTATAATTATTGCGTATCAATATAGTTAATGAGATATGGTACACATCGGTTTGAATAAATTAAGTGAATATTAAAGATTTTTTTTACGCGGTATGATATTTGATTTTTTTTTTTTTTGCATGTCACACCGCTGACGCATTTTTGACGTTTCTCGTAACGTTAATATCAATTATTGAGACGTTATCGAACATCGATTTTTGATTACAACGTATCTCTTGCGATCGATCACAAAGACTATCCGTAATTATCTAAATGAGAATGTGTAATGTTAATTAGTTGACATTATTTTACTAAATTTACGTTTATCTTTATTCTACATATTTTTTTTTATTAATACTATGATTGTTTTTTTATACTGAAATATATATTTATTACTATATATATATATATTACTGAAATATATATTATAATTACTATATATATATATATATATATATATTACTGAAATATATATTTATTATATACGGAATACATTTATTTTCAATAAGAATGTCTCCGTATGCTTTTGCTTCTCATTTTTTCTATCTAAATAAAACTTTCGAAACAAACGGAACACTTGGCAAACTTACCATTCCCGCACCGATACCGCAGCAGGCTGGAACGGCTAGGATATTGAATACTGCGGAACCTACTATCGTCCCGACGCCAATGTCACCTTCCGTGATGAATGTTCCGATGGCATTCACGAATAATTCTGGAGCCGACGTTGCCGCTGCCATGAACGTCGCGCCGGCCACATCTTTCGACATTGAGAGCGCTGAAATGCAATTTTGTCGGTCTCGGTTTCGATTTTCCACTTGTTTATGAGCGACCAACTATTTGTAAATTCGTTCGTGAATTCAAACACACACATGTGTCGCATTTAGTGTTAAACGAAAATATTTCACGTGAAGCGTGTGAAACTCTGTGTGTGAAAAAAACAAAAAAAAAAAAATATCACGAAGATGGAAATTTCGACTAAAAGGCAATTACGACAACTACCGAAGATAGTGCTTGTGCCTGGCGTCCGCAATGACGCAGATATGCTGCAGCATGGACCGTGCGGTCGATTCGACCGTCGTGTATGTGCATGTCTCAACCGAGGCATGAAAATAATCGTGATATTGTCAGAATGATCACTGTCTCTGAGTCTGATTTACTTGAGAAACCATGTTTGATTTATCAGATCTAATTAATGTATTATATATATATATATTTATATGATTAATGTATTATATACACACGGAAAAAAAAGATTTGCTAGAATAGCAAGAAATTAGTTATTATATGGCCAGCAAAAAAACATTTGTTAAGTTTATTAAAATTTTTGTTTCGCCAACAAAACATTTTGTTGATGAAACAAAATATTTCGTAGTAGTCAACCATGTTTTTTGCTAACCATATGATAGCAAAACTTTTTTTTCCCGTGCACACAAAGCCAGTTTTGTATATAAATAAACGTCCCTCCACTTTTTTGTGCTTGCATGTGGCAAGTGGAAATACATAATCCAAAGCAAATCTCCTGAAAGTTATTTAATTTTAATTACTATACGAGAACTGCTTCTCGGTTTTATATTTTTTTCCATTTTCTCAAATAAAATAAAAGTGATCAAGATATTCGACTTTCTAAAATTGAATCACTCGCGATAATTAAAATTTAATAACGCGACTTATGTTAATATCGATTATCGCGTGGCGATCAACTTCTTTAAATATAGAACTGTCTCATATATATATATATATATAGTTACCAAAATATTATTACATAATACAATATATATTACAATATATATTACAATAATTTACAATATATATTACAATATATATTACAATTATATATTACAATAATTTTACATTGCCCGTGTGTTGAAAAATTCTTTTCGAAACTGACGGAAAAAAATCAGCGATTAAAATTAATTAAAAACAATTCGCGTTTCGCCGCAACCCTTACCGTGACATATTTTTTCTACAGCAGGTACGAAGAATTTATCGCATACTACTGCTAAAGCGATAAATAAGTAAAGCGACACTATGACGTGGACTACGACGGCACCGCCTTGTCTTTGCTCCTCATCAAACAGGTCGTGTGGAAAATCTTCTATGGCCGGTGGCGTACAATTTATACCTAAAAAACATAAGTTTATCTTTGAAGGAAGGAGACGATGTAACACTTATAGTTGCGACGATCTTGTCGCGTCAGTTTGCCCGCGTGTGTGTGCGTTAACTTCTCGGAAATCGATAAACGCGCAATATCATTCTCTTCTTCTTCTTAAATAACTTTTTCTTTTTATACACACGTATATATGTTTTTTTAAATCAATATTGTAAGCATTTCTATCGTGTAATAAGAATGTTCGTTTTCTTTGAAGCAACTGATGTTGCTTAAAAATTTTTAAATCTTGAACACGGAATTATGATTTTATAAAGATACAATACGTGCAAGTACAAAAAATAATATGATTTAGCGAAAAATATCTACGCCTATCTTTCTCATGTAAAAAAAAAAAAAAAAAGAAAGAAATCTTTATCCTTAAAGCGCGCTTCAAGGAAAAATATTATCCCGCGATTTTTCAGTTTGCTGTCTTTTTAGGAAGGATTTTTTCCCGCTTGTAATACGATTTCCGCCACACCCTGTATCATTCGAGGCGGAACCGCATAATACCCAGTTCCGGATGTACCGCACCTGTGCGGTGCGCGTTCGTATCCGGCAAAATAAATTTTTCGTTGCGCAACTTTAAGGTATGTATACGTTGCAAAATGTGGTAGCGCGTATAAACAAATCAATTTGTGCACATCTTTGTTCGATGTGCGCGAACAGATGTGTCAAGACCCAAAAAAAACTCGAAACTTCATCTTCCTCGGTGACACCGATAATATCTTTCGCATTCGCGCGATACATACATACGTTACGTGTCTGTAGTATTAAAAAAAAAAATGTCAATTACACGACTCGCGACTTTAACGCGCGCAAACCCGCGACGAGTCTTTTTCTCGCGGTTTTATGAACGCTCATGGGTTTTAATACGATAAGAGCGTAAAGATCTTAAAGTTAACTATTATCTTTTTAGAGTCGGCAGGCTCGTTCTGGCGCTAAAAGGGAACGTAGTCGTCGTTGTCGTCGGGGAAAGGGGGTGGGGGAGGGACACGAGAGGAGAGGAGGTAGATCGGCCGATTACGAAATCGGTATATTAGCACGTACGTTGACTCGCCGAATGGATTGTTCACGCCCGACGAATCGTCTGTACGGCACGAAATGTCACGCATGCACCGGTTTAATATACACGTATTTAATACACGGGCGAGCGAGGCGACGGTGTGACGGTGTGATGTCCAAATTGGATCGTGTAGTGGTGAGAGATAACGATACGCCACAAGTAGGAAACGTCTCGTTACCGTGAGCCATTACTTCAATTTTATGGAACCGTCGCGTTTCGTGCCGAATTCTTTGGCAAACAACCGTTCGCCGCCGCGCGAACGTCGAAGTGCGCGGGGGAGATGTCCGCGTGTGTGCATCATCCTCACAATGCGAAATGTGCGATAATCGTGCACACGCACCGCAATAATATATATATGTACATATATATATGTATATATATATATATATATATACATCTCGCACGCAGAGTCTCGCAACGCTCGCGAGAGTAAATTAAAAATGAAAAATTACACGAGCGTGCAATTACGAACTATCGAGAGAATAACACGTTCGCTTTAAAGTCTGAATTGTCAACATGGTTCAATTATACTCCCTCGCACATAAGATGCGACTTCTCCTCGGCTCAAATGTAACACACTTCTTTCAATTACGAATTCTTATATATATATATATATATATATATTTGCGTTACAGAAATTAATTAATACCGAATATATTGTTGCTTTATCATCGTTGAAATGTCTGCAGTTTCGTTTTTATGCGTTTAACAAATTGCAATTAAAAAAATCTATTATTTCGACAAATGTTACTCAAGCAACAGCGAACGAACTTTTTGTCTAACATGAAATAATTACAGAACAACAATGTGCAGAAATAATATAGTAACTCGGTTATATCTGCAAAGCAATTTTTTTACAAGTAGAAGAAACGCGTATCCGCAAAATGTGCAGTTTCGTATATTGCGCTCTTTTCTGAGTGCGCAGTTAAATACCCCCGTTATCGATTCCTCGAGTATCGCGTCAAGTATCGGATCAAATCCAAATACTCTCTCTCTGAAAATTATCTGTGTGTTTAAAGGATTATAAATAATACATCGGTCTGTCCGGTTACACAAGTTCATATTACTTTGGATTATCTAATTGTGTTGCTCTATCTGGGAACGATATGCTATCTTATTGCGCGATAATGGAATAAATTAAACAGAGCGATGTTTTATAAATTTTTATACTGCAATTTAATATTTTCATTATATTATTGTTACTCTTTTTATCCACACACACACACATACATTTTCTCTCCTCTCCTCTCTCTCTCTCTCTCTCTCTCATACCTTCGACCCTCGCCAGGAAAGATATATATGAACATGCAAACGTGCGCGTATTGGTGCCTCTTACAGGTTATACCGCTATGTGACTGGATGTGACTTCCTACCGATTAAGCAACCTAAAGAAGTTAAATTGCTCTCATTCAACTTGGCAGAACAGATGCCATTCATGTCTAATGTACGTCGTATAAACTAGATATATCACGACGAGACTCTCAACGACTCGGGTTCTCTCCGGCGTTTCTCTCTCTCTCGTTCGGTCGGAAGGGCGAACAGCGGCCGATCGCCGGTCTCGCCGGTATGGCCGATTGATAAAAATCTGTTGTTCGCAACCGAAACTGATGATGTTTCCACGAAACAAAAAAAAAAAACAAAATTATTACAACGCTCCTCTGTAACTTCGACGCAAGCCTTTGAGAAATAGCCTGTTGGAAGTTTTGTCAACATCCGCGCACACATACGTTGCAACCTGTGCACGAGCATCGTGTTTTCTACTCTCGAGATCGCATCTTCGTGATGAGATCTCGGAGGACGACAATCACGTTCATCAAAAGCGCCAATGAATGATTTATGTTGATTAGCATTTTTTTTTTTTTTTTCATAAACTATGTAGACATGTTACTACTCCATCGATCCAAACAAGTCGAGTTTCACTTGACGTTTTAAATTAACTTTTTTTTTGTACCTTCTATCGCGCGCATATTTTATTGCGACGATATTTTTTTGCCGTCTCTGGAAAGAGAATGCGGAATTAAAATTTGTTGTGCTGTATAATTTCAAGTGACGATAAATAATTAATTTTTGCGCGAAAAAAAAAATACTCTCTTTCGTCCGAACACGGTATGCCGCTCTCGTGAAGCACAATTTGTTTGGTTCATCTAGTGAATCTCTGATGGTTAATTGGCGGGTCATGCCGGACAAGTGAGCGACAAAGAAGAATGAGATAAAGATAATGGACGGCGAGCATTAATTCTAAGTAGTATATAATTGACGATGCTTAATTAACCGCTTTGAATCACCTATGTCCTCACCGTTTCTCGATTCAGAATCACTCTCACCGGATGAGCTCTAATTAATCGCAATAATCGCCTCGCCATATAATTCTCTCTCTCTCTCTTTCTCTCTCTCTCTTTCTCTCTCTCCACGTCGTTCTTATTAAAGGTCAACGAAACTACCTACAACGAAAGCGGATGCTAAACCCGGGTAGCGCACACCGAGCGAATGAAAAAAACGCGGAATATCGATCAATCGCGCATCATCGGTGATGGATTCGATCGATTTGTTTTGTTCTTCGTTCGCTCGGTGTTTTCACGCGGGGCTCATCACGCAGAACGTGAAAAAGTGAACAACAATAACTAACAACATCAGCATGCATTAAATTCGCAAGCGAGATTTTTTTTTATTGACTACAGAGAGTTTTGGCGAAACGGATTGAAAGTCGCATTTTGCGCGAAATAGCGTAATGCAAGTAGTGTGGTTTTAATGTAAGTTTACGCCGCGGTTTAAGCTCGCTACTAAGGCACGCATGCCTTGAAAGTTGAATAAGTGAGAAAGAGGAAGAGGTAGAATATAATAGATTGTTAATTTTCATAAATTATTCCGAGAGTTTGCGGTTTATTTGCGAACAAGCTCGTTGTTGTTGCAACTATATGTTATTGCAAAACAAATAAAATCTTACGCATAAAAGAGAATTCAAAAGATTTCACATTTGCGTGTGAGCGGCGATATAAATTCGTCAGAAATAAAATAGAGTAAGAAAGTGGAAGAGCGAGAGAGCAAGTAAGAAACCAAAATAACCTGATAGATATTCGGAAAAAGCAAAAGAAAGACAAAAAAAAAAAATAAGAACATAATTTAATTACAAGCAAAGAGAAAAATAAAACAAAAATAATCAATTTCACACGTGAAAAATTAAGCAATAAAACAGAAAAAAAAAAAGTGAAACGATTAAATTTAGCAGATGTGGAAATAAATGCGAGAGAAAGAAAATAGAGAGTGCATGTGTAAAACAAAATTTCGAATATTCTGTGCTTTTGATTTTGCGTAGCTCTAATGGAACGTTGCAACAAAAAAGAATTGTTTTTAACGAACACTTATCGAACACCATGCCCAATGGAACATCCTATTGGATATATTGGCACGTTTTCCTGTCTCTTTGCAACGCAAATCTTGCGTTCACGAAAAAAAGCGCAAAAACGGAAGCGATAGTATGCGTGTTTTTCTCTCTCTCTCTCTTCCTCTCTCTCTCTCTCTCTCTCTCTCTCTCTCTCGCCTGTTATCTTAAATTTTTCCGAATCTTGTGCGTCGTCATCCGAGTTTTCTCCCGATCGACATATATATATATATTTCCTTCCGCAGCACGAGTCACACCTTTGCTTTTGCAGAAAACTTGCTTAGACAACACCGGAAAAAAAGTGACCCGCGGTAGTATATATATTATCGAAAATAAGATTCAAACACACCTCCTCCTAGGTCAGACGCATCCATGTTGTCAATCCCGTTGTCACACACATACTACATTACATCTACTCCGAAGTCCGACATCGTTTGTTAGAATCGCCCCTCCTTTCTGTCTCTTCTCTCGGATGTAGCGCCTGTTGCTGAATCGTAACCGCATGTAAGTGATGCTTGTGCAGCTTCAGGCCGACGGAGTTCCGAAAAAAAAATTTCGCGCAAACACACATACAAATTCTCCAATATGTATATAATATTGTTTGCGAGAAATCGCAAATCTCATTGCACACGCTCACGTGGACGCGGAATGCGCGAAAGATGTAATTAATAAATAAATTATAAAATATATAAAACGTTGCTCTTTTTTTTTTTTTTTTTTTCACGCGTATAGAGGTATACTTTTTAGAAATAATTCAGACGAGAGAACAGCGGTACCGCGTACGTTGAGCGCGTTTTTTTTAAGTAAAATTTAAAAGCCTTGTTTAAATCTCGTATCTTTGTTCGGCGATACACGCGCTATTTTTTTTTTTTGCGACTTCGCGATGTCTCGCGTAGCGCGAAAGTTTTAAGTTAAAGTTTAAAGTTGGTTTTCAATTTGCGCCTTTGATTTTGTCCTCTTTGATAACGAGACGCTGTGTACCGAACCAACGCGATCGGATTTTCTTCCTGAGAGATGTGATTGAACATTTTTCCGATCCGATCACGAAGCATTCTGCTATTGTAATGTGTTTTAATTGCCGGAAGGAGTAAGAAAACAATTGTTATCACAATTAAGTGCTTGCGATCGAGCGATGATTATAAATTTGTTACCGTTATTATATTAATTACGTATACGATAGAACTTAATGTGTGTAATCACAGTTATATCCCCTTACTTCAAGTAGGACTTAAAACTCTCATTCTCTCTCTCTCTCTCTCTCTTTCCAGCTAGATTATATAAAGTATCTCCTGTGTTTTGTACTGTACACTCACGTGCACACATTTAACTCGCTCGGTACGAATGTACCGAATCATTCTGCTGTCTCTGACTTAACGTGTAACATTCTTACGTTTTCGCATCGACACGTTCAAATTAACGTCCCAAGTAAATGCACGCGACGCGTTATATGTTCGATAACGTTACTCTTTTTCCATCTATTTTATTATTTATTTAATTTATTGGTCTTAAAAATTGCAACACATCTCATAATTTTGTCCTCTCATTTGTTCCCCTCGTCGTGAGTAAGAAGACAAATACTTAAGTCGAGTTGTTTATTTAGAGAGATGATTTAATTATAATCTCTAAGGTTAATTGAAATATGTCAAAACAAACGCGTGCGATATCAATTATCGATAATAACGTAAATATTTGTTCTATATTAGTAGAGCTGTCTTAGAGCGCTTTCCAACTACGTACACAGGCGACACTGTGTAACACAGTGTCCATTAGTGTGAGTGAGACACACCGATATGCTCTTTCTCACACTAATGGACACGGTGTTACACAGTGTCGCCTGTGCACGTAGTTGAAAAACACCCTTACTAATAATTACTACATTATGTAACATCTGTTCGCAATCTTATAATAAAAAAGATGTATTTTATGTACATTTATAATATAAAGAGATTAATTATAATTATAAATAAGAGATTTATATATTTATAATATAAATAAGAGACGCAATATTTCAGAAGTATATGAAAAATATATAAAATTTCAAATATAAATTTCTTGATAAATTATATACAGTCAATATAGCGGCAAAAAGGATCTTCTAAAGAGGCATTCACATTTTATGCATTTAGATATATATATATAACAAATATACACACACATACACAAGCACATATTTTATATCGACTTTTATTGTAATATAGAGTATACACATATGAAAGATTTTCTCTCTCCGACTTATTCGATACGTACATAAGTAGCTCAATATTTGTCGTATTCAAAGCACAATAAAATATAGAACAAACAGATGATATTCGTGTCGGAGACGAAACAATTGTGATATTTACACGATTTTTCTAACAGTCGTCGTTACAATCCTCGTGCGATGAATTGACTTGGCAAAATACATCGAGAATCGAGTGAGACATACAATTCCAGAGTGCAATCTCGCAGATATTGACGGTCGTACGCTGATATCGTATTCGATATATTCGCAAGATAGTTCGATCAACACGTGCACGGCCGACTCGATAACGTGACCGCGTGATAAAAGTTTCGCGAAGAATATATATACTTTTCCAAAATATTGCACATATTGTAATATTTTATTTGCGAGACACGCGATGTTCAAATTCATCGAGGATAGAATATGGAAGTCAAACGTGTGGTATAAAAATCAACAAAAGTGCATCGAGAAATCACATTCGTTGACGGAAATTTTCCTCTCTCGTGCGTCATTTTATAATCAAAGGGACAGATGATTGCTTTATTGAGTATCTTATCGGTATTGCGATAAATCGTTCGATGAAAAATACGAGCATAGTCAAACGGTAGCTGCTGGATAAGTAGCAGACTACATCGTGTCACGTCCAGAGACACGAAAAGTGCGAATCGCGCAACATACAGTGCTTTCAAATATATATATATAAACATATATACATGTATATTAGTTATATTGTTATATAATACATCGTTAATTGTTAGCCAAAATCGTCAATTACATAACGAACCGTTTGTACGCGACAAAGAATGGCATGGCGGCGCAAACGCATGGTTGGATATCAAATAATTCTTCTCACCGCCATCCCGGCTACGTATCTTTTTTGCGTCAGTATGGCGGGACTGTTTTCTGACATTCGGACAAACACCGGTTACGCAAAAACCGATTTCCCGACGGAATGGCGTAAGTTTGCAAAACTTTTGTTTTTTCAGCAACTCGAGAGACCGAGATTGTTCCTTGGAGGAACGCCGCCCAAGTTAAAACTACTGTGCGGGGAAACAAAACTCTCAGTCTCTTCTTTAATTTTCATGTCATTGTTTGGTTTTTTTTTTTTTTAATAACTATTTTTATATTCAGTATCGGTTTTGTACTTCAGAAGGACGCAAATTGCTGCAGACGAGCAAGCCCGAACCGCGAGCGAACGAGACTTACAATTGCACTCCGCCTGCCATCAAAGAATTTCCACCCGATGGATTTACACGACAGCAAAGACAAGCGGGATTTATATTAATCCACTTCGCCATTGCTATTTATCTGTTCTTGTTACTCGCCATTGTTTGCGATGACTTTTTCGTTCCGTCCATTAAGAAAATCTGCGAGAGTGAGCCGCTTTCATAATTTTGCCGCCTTATGCATCTCTCCAAATATTTTTTTTCTTCTGTTTAATTCTTCTATTGAAATATATATTGTATATATATATATAAATAAAAATAAAATCTCGTTGCAAAATAATCCGAAAGAATAAAAACGTATCTTGACAGAGCTCGATGTCACCGAAGACGTAGCTGGCGCTACCGTAATGGCGGCCGCAAGTTCGAGTCCGGAATTGTTCATTAACGTTATCGGTACTTTCGTTACGGAAGGCGATCTGGGTGTCGGCACCATCGTTGGTTCCGCGGTGTTTAACATATTAGCCGTTCCCGCGTGTTGCGCGCTACTCGCGCACGAGGTAGATGGCAATTAAATTTTTATTACAAATTAAAACAACGCAATTTCCACATATTCCGTGATATTTGCACGCAATTTTTTCTTATCACGTTACAGGCGTTGAACTTGGAATGGTGGTCGATATCGCGAGATACAATAGCCTACGCCTTCACAGTTCTTCTCTTGATCTTGACTCTGCGGGACGGACGTGTCGAGTGGTACGAGGCGCTCATCCTCATCATGTGTTACATTCTATACATTTCAGGTGAAACGAATCAAATCGATTAAAAAAACAAACAAAACCGTATACTTTTTACACACTTTAAAAATATTATTTAAAGGAGATAATTGCAACGCGCACGCAAACAAAAAAAAGTACATTGTGAATTCAAACTCTGTTTGAATCTTTTCAGCGATGTGTCTCAATCGCCGCATCACCAGTTTTATCAGACGTGTTACGTCTAAGAGAAAAAAGTACAAAATCTGCGAAAATACTCCTCTTCTGTCAAATAGTAAGATGTATATAAATATAAATATATAATACGCATTTGCATGTAAATATAAAAAATTGATATTACAGACACTTCTCTGCAAAAATAAGTGAATTAAAAGAAATTGATATTAATTTCATTCTGTGAAGAAAGTTCAATCAACTCTCAACATTTTGATTTGTCAGATTAATTTTTTTTAATCTGCATTTTTTCTGTTTTCCATTAACTTAAAAACACAAAAACTTACAATCTGTTACAAGCGGAAATAAATGTTTAGAAATATATATACATATATAGAAAGGTAAATATAAACGGTTTAACGATTTCTTTAAATGCCAATGTCGGATCTCGTCTCAATCAGAGAGAAATTCAAATCTCACAGAATAAAATGTCTGTCAATTTTCTTTTCAATCCACGTATTTCTTTGCAGGGAGTTGCGTTCGATAAGACTACTCGTAAGAAATCTAATCTCATGCTTTTGGCTATCTTTCATTCTGAAATCTGACAGACATCATCAAAGAAACAGAGATATGTGGATTTAGCTCGAGCGACGTGGACGAATCACGTATGTGTGCCATAAATGTTATTAAAATAACAAATGTAAAAATTACGTTAAATTGTATATAATTTGAAGTGAACGGAAATATGGTTGTTTTCAGTCGAAATTGTGGACATGACATCCTGGCCAAATTCAACCTGCGAAAAAATATGGTGGATCGTTACCTGGCCTATTAATTTGGTATTGTTCTTTACTATTCCCGACTGCAGAAGAAAAAAATTGAGATCCTGGTATCCGTTTACGTTTATCATGTGCATAATGTGGATCGCGACTTCGTCCTACATCATCGGATGGGTTATCACTATAATCGGTAAATTATGTTCTGTTCATAACAATAATTAAACTTCGCTAAACTAGAGTTAGATTTTTGACCTTTGTTATGATAAAAACAAACAAACCTAATTTTATTCGAAATCATTGTTCCAAGTTTCGCGTTTCTTGTTCTACAACATTTTTTCTACGTTGTGTTTTAGGTGATACTTTTAGAATTCCTGACTCAATTATGGGTTTGACGTTCCTCGCAGCTGGAATGAGCGTACCCGAAGCCGTATCGAGCGTTATCGTTGCAAACCAAGGTACGATAATAAATAAAGATCGGATTCTCGACTCGTCCCATATGAAATGAAATTACACAAAATTTTTTTTCAGGTCACGGTGCCATGGGGATAAGTAATTCGATAGGCTCGAACGTGTTTGATGTATTACTGTGTCTCGGATTGCCGTGGTTCATAAAAGCCGCGCTAGTGCCAACGGTACCCGGACAATATTACGTTCAAATCAATTCTCAAGGACTAGTATATAGCTCGATATCTCTTTTTTCTACGTTAATTATTTTGTACGGATCTTTGCTTCTTAACAAGTTCAAATTAAATCGTACGGTCGGTATCGTCTGTCTCGTTATGTACGTCGTATTTTTGATATTCGCATCCGTTGTGGAACTCAACACGTTCTTCGTTGTTAACTTACCGATATGTATCGACTAGCAGTAAATATCGATTAGATTTTTTGAACTGTGTAAATATATCCCAATGATGATGTGATGCTATTTTTACTTACTGATTGTGTGTGTAAACTTTATACACATGTGTACGTTGTATGTATGTATATATATGTGTGTACAGTCTCAAGAAAAATCTGAATAATTGTATAAATTAATTAATTCAACTGTACAAAAAATAACAACCTATTATATATCATATTAAATGACATTCTCATACGATCCTTTACTCACTCGTTAACTGTCAAACAGGACATATGACATACATTAAAAATATGTACAGCTTTGTACAACATTTATCTTTCTTTTTTATAAAAAAAACTATGTCCTGTTTGCCAGTATTAAATATTACAAGACTCTATATACTTACAACATTAAGTGAACACAGATTTAGAAAAAAATGAATATATATTTGTGAACTTATTTTATGTATATTATATATATACATATATATATATATATATGTATATATATATATAAATTTCATACAATGCTCAACACAATTGGCCACAGTCTGCTATTGTGATTTTCTGACTTGTTTTGCCAGTTGGCGAACCAAAATTTTCAATCTTTTTTACAATGTCCATACCTTCAATAACACCGCCAAACACAACATGTCTGTTGTCTAGCCAAGGTGTTTTTATAGTGGTAATAAAAAATTGTGATCCATTTGTGTTCGGACCGGAGTTAGCCATTGACAGTATACCGCCGCCGGTGTGTTTGAGTTCAAAATTTTCATCTTCAAACTTATCACCGTAAATAGACCGTCCGCCTGTGCCGTTGTGATTCGTGAAATCACCTCCTTGGCACATAAAATTCGGAATCACACGATGAAAACTACTTCCATTGTAACCGAAGCCCTTTTCTCCTGTACATAGAGCGCGAAAATTTTCTGCCGTCTTTGGTACGACATCGGGACGCAATTGGATTACAATTCGTCCCAATGACTTGTCATTTGCAGCTACGTCAAAATACACTCGTGGCAAATTCATTCTTTCTAGAAGCTACGATATGATACAGTATAACCCCAATTAGAACCAATTACATATACAAACTAAATTACAAATTTGAATTGTAAAAAAACGGTTGTTATTGTTTATTTACCTTTTCAAATTACATATATACAATTATATTCGGCAAACTGCTTTGACCTGATTGGTTGACTTGCTATCTTGCTAATTACAACTAAATTTTTGTCACGTGCAAAAGGCCTTAAATCTTACGTCGTTGTTGAATGTCCTGATCTTTTGTCATGAGAGCGGTTTGTTGGTTTTTCTAACCTTGATTTGAACCCAACGGCTGCGACATAAGGCCTTCGCCAGTCCAATGACGGTTTTAGTGCAGCTTTGGTGTACAGAAAAAGAACAAACCTTAGGGCGATGTCCCATTGAGCGGAAATCTATAGCGGAATGTGCGGAATTAGCTCGACCAATCGTAATCACAGAAAAAGCGAAGGAAAGAAAACGGAATGGCTGTGATTGGTCGAGCTGGTTCCGCACATTCCGTTCCGCTATATATTTCCGCTCAATGGGACATTGCCTTTAAGTTCATATTCCACTATAGGTTAGATTAGGTTACACTGCTCAGTTGCGAATGGTATTACGATTGACAGTTGCAAGTAGACCAATCAAATTAAAGCAGCTTGATCAATCATTGGTCAATTTGTAAGCGTGGTCAATGGGTGCGTTCAGAAAACTCAACTGTTGCACAACGGTTGAGAGATAATCACTTCTGATTGGATCATACTTTTGGAACCGCTGCAGATTTTGAAGAATAGTCCTATCATAAGTGATGATCTCTCAACCGTTGTGTTGTCTGAACTCACCCAATGATCAAGCTCGCAACCTGTGATGCGATACGGGCTTAACAAATGAAATGAAGTATATAGATGGGACGCTTTTCTTTTCACGCATGCGCGAAAAAAGCGTTCCATCCGTGGTCTCGTCTAGCAACACTGATCACTTTCCATTTCCTTGCTGGTCTCCGACGGGGAAGGTACCGAGGGAATCTATCCGGGGACAGACTTCGTAAAAAATGATGAGAAGTCGGGAAAAGAGGTAAAAAGTTTTTAAGTTGCGCGTACGAATAGTTTGCTTGCTTTGGAGATTTTTTTTTCTATCGGATTGATTGCGTTTCTTCTATTTTTAAAGTTAATTTCGGCGGTTTCTGCTACATGGCCACGTGCTTAAGAAAAAATCTAAGTATATCCGCATTTTTCCGCATAAGTACAACTTTCGATAATTTAACTAGTTAGATATATTTTTTTTACATTTTATTGCCAGTAATAAAAATTACATCCGTTTTATGTAACATTTACAACAGATTTTCAGTAAAATTTGAAACCAAGCTGCAACAAACTTGCGGCCATTTTGATGTCTAACAGCTTCCAAAATCCGAACTTGTTTCTTTTAAGTGATGATAATTATTGGTCCGTGTTACTGATACACCAATGATCTTATCCATATATTTTCTGATATATATATATATATATATTGTGCATAAATATATACGCGCCATTAATTAAAAATTATTGCTAGAATCTAAAGTAATAATCACTGTTTATAGGAAAAATCAAGAAATGATGCGATTAAGAAAAAATACAGATTCGATGCAAGCGATAACTTGAACCTTCAATTATTGTCTGCGATAAACTGCAACTATATAAGGTATATATGTCTTTACAGACAAAAATTTATTTTTTTATACAACTCTTGTTTGTTTAAATGATGATAATTTTGGTCCGTGTTTCTGATTCATCAGTGATTAATACCATTTCTGAAAAACAATTTATATATGTTCTTGATTCTTGAGTATAAATTTATAGACAAATTATAATTAAGTTGTTATTACTGTATATAGGATCCAGCGCTTGTTTTCAAAATGAGATTAAGTAGAAATGGGAATTAAATGAACGAGATACTATTTTCTCAAGATATAAGATTTAAAATGGTGACTAGAGGGTAAGTTAAATATTAATCATTTTATTATGTTACGAAGAATAAATAAATAGCACACTTGGTTATAGCAAGTAACTTAAGTTTAAAATAAATATTTATATGATATAATGATTTATATAATTTTTATAAACCTTTTTGTAATTTTCCTAATATGATGATAATTTTAGTCCGTGTTTCATCTGAATTACATTGATTACACGCGAAACTTTCTGATTTGAATTAGAAATACTTATTTTATTTAGTTAATTTTGAGTTGCAATTACAAAAAGAAATTTATATAATTGCAGAGAAGAAAACACTGGAGTGTAACAAATCAATGGCTGCTTTCCAACAATGTACACTAATGATGTAATCATATTGGATCAACATCGACAAAGTTGCTGAATGGGTTTTTTTTTGCTTCGTACACGTCGTAGCAAAATTTTTCAATAAACGGATACACATCCCACACAAAACAAAAACTCCATTAGACATCCACAGCTCCATGCGACATCTAATGGATGTCTAGATGGATAGATGTCTGTGTGGGATGTTTATTACATCTAGCTCAGTATCTACTGGATAAGAAAATTATAAAGTATAATCTGTATTTGATTTGTTCCTTTTCAATTCAATGAAAATCTCGTTTTGTAATGAGAATGTGACGGCAAATGTGTCTGATATATGTCTGTAAAATATTTTTGTCTGTTTTGTAAATATGAACATACATGTATTGATCTAGCAAAATGATGTATTGTTTCACCTCTTTCCGTCTTGTACTGTTGCCGTTTTTTAATTAAGTAAAAGAATTATCTAAACTTAGTTTTTACAAGTGTCTTTGGTAAATGTTTGATATATTAATCTTGGCCGATCAAACCGTTGACCAATCACGTTGTTCAATAGAAGTGACAATTAAACAGTCGAGTAAGGCCTGGTTTATGTTGGCAAATAAGGCCTTGTTTATGCGGGTAATAACTGTTAATTTATGCCGGAATTGGTACAGTTCAACTATAGGATTTCAATGCTTCTGTTATATTCTGTTGTGCTTATGTTAATAAACAGAAATATTAAAATCTTAGGCCCGCATAAACCAGACCTAAGTTAATCAGAGAAACCGGATTCCTGACTCAGTCGTTGGGAATTAATCATAATTGACCAATCACGGTCGAGCGTTAGCGTGACAAAATAATTTTGAAAGTGAGACGAGATGGTGATTGGCCACCACATAACCACGTTTTAGTTCCTAGCCAACTTCCGCTGCGCGGTAAGCATTGCCGCGTCTTGTGTGCGGCAGCCATAACACGCGGTATAAGTTCGGTCATCAGAGTTCACTGCATGATACGTGCGAGTTTGAGAAAGAGCGGTTCGGTCGACAACTTTTGCGGAACGTCGCACAGATCTGTTTTATAGTTCCAAAAATTCATACATATTTATAACGATTGTGTGATTGCGTTTCTTTGTTAATTTTCAAACGTAAATAATAAGATGGTGCCTCTCGGTCCTTCACCAGGACATCAGACGTCGGTCAACAATTCTTCTGCAGCTGGTAGCGGCACGAAGAGCAACGCAATATCGGTAATATAATTAGTAAAAAATATGCATAGAGTAGATTGTTACAAACCGTTAAGAATAGCTTCTATATATAAACATGTGTAATATATGAAATAATTTATCAGAAACTTACACTGTAACGAGAGAGAATATCATTGGTCTCTGTGCACAAGAGAAGCAAAGCGAGCGAAGTAGAGAGAGCGTTACACGTAGGACACTCTCTGGCAGCCAATGATATTTTCCCATTGAACAGAGTGTATATGTACATATATTTTGTGATTGTGTTCTCTAATTGTAAAAATCAAAATGCTAAGAAAAACCTCAACATATATACATACCTTGTGGCATACAATTTGAAAATTCTCAAAGATGTGTACTGTGAATTTTATATTATTAATTTTGTTATTTTATATTACAGAAGCCTAATTATTCATTAAAGTTTACTTTGGCTGGTCATAACAAAGCAATATCATCTGTTAAGTTTAGTCCAAACGGAGAATGGTTGGTAAGCTCTGGTAAGCAGTGATTATTTCTGTCTTAGAGGTTTTATTTGCAAATGTAAGATGTATTGTATTTTTATCAAAATATGTGATACAAATGATAAAATTATTTCTTTAGCGGCGGATAAAATGCTAAAGGTTTGGGGAGCATATGATGGAAAATATGAGAAAACTATATCTGGTCACAAACTTGGTATTTCGGATGTAGCATGGTCTAGTGACAGCAGATTGTTGGTATCAGCTTCTGATGATAAGACTTTAAAACTGTGGGAGTTAAGTTCTGTAAGTAATACCTAATATAAAAACAGATAATTTTTAATTAGAAACAAATTTGTTTTGATTATTGCACAGTCTTCCAATATATTGGACTTTTTTTTTATTTTTCAGGGCAAGTGTTTAAAAACATTAAAGGGTCACAGTAATTATGTTTTCTGTTGTAATTTTAACCCACAGTCCAATCTTATAGTTTCTGGATCTGTAAGTGATATTGATTACATATTTCTCTTAAATATTTAGCACATGTTTACATAAGATATAGTAATCAAGTTGTGTGTGTGTGTGTGTGTATGTATGTATGTAAGATATCTAATACTTATAAGTTCAACTTGTTTATTAAATACTACCTATGATTGATCAATTCAAAAAGAAAAACGATTATTCAAGAAAAATCAATTTTTAGTTTGATGAAAGTGTACGCATTTGGGATGTTAGAACTGGAAAGTGTCTTAAAACATTACCAGCACATTCAGATCCTGTGAGCGCGGTACATTTCAATAGGGATGGCTCTTTAATTGTTTCGAGTAGTTATGATGGACTGTGGTAAATATTATAACACGTAATATGTTACATTAATAATAATGAATGCAAAACAACTATGTCAAGTTACATATTCTTTTCTCTGAGATATTTTATGCAACTAGAAACAACAGCATCGTGAGTATATGTGTTATTTTACAGTCGAATTTGGGACACTGCTTCAGGACAATGTTTAAAGACTTTGATAGATGACGACAATCCTCCGGTATCGTTTGTCAAATTTTCACCAAATGGAAAATATATTTTAGCCGCTACGTTGGACAATACTTTGAAGCTTTGGGATTATAGTAAAGGAAAATGTTTAAAAACGTATACCGGTCATAAAAACGAGAAATATTGCATCTTTGCCAACTTTTCTGTGACAGGCGGAAAGGTTCGTATCGTAATATTTAAATTTTGTATATATAAATACGTTTTCTTTTAATTTTATATAAATATGATTTTATTTAGAACATATGGAAAAGTGATAATTTTCTTTTAAACATGTTTAATTCTCTAATTTATTTAGTGGATTGTATCTGGTTCTGAGGATAACATGGTGTACATTTGGAATCTACAGACAAAAGAGATTGTACAAAAGTTACAGGGTCACACAGGTAAGTTTGAATTTAAAGACAATGTAAAATAGCGTATAAAAGAGAAACTTCCTTTTTTTCTTACAAAATTCGTTGTTGGTCACTTGTACCTATTTTAGATGTGGTACTTTGCACAACGTGTCACCCAACGGATAATATTATAGCTTCCGCTGCTCTTGAGAATGATAAAACCATCAAATTATGGAGAAGCGATACATAAAACTAACGTAGAATTTATTAAAGTTATAAAAATCCTTGTACAAATCTGTTTTTATATATTATGAAATATATAATACTAAATATTTTCTTTTTTAACAGCAAGACGATTATTTCGCAAATATGTATAAAAAAATAATTATAGAAAATAAATTTCTACACACATGTATTAGATTTTTAAAATTTCATAAAACATGTACAAAAAGTATTTTAAAAATCTAATATGAGAAGTAAATAATTTTTTCGATAAGTAAGAAGTTTTTTTGCAATTAAAAAATATTCAAGTACTTAACACATTACATAGCGTAATTTTGATATATTAGAAACAAACACTTTTTGTATTACATTGAAAAATGTTTATGTTATGACCACATATCACACAAAAACACCTAATTTACAATAACTTATTTTTGATATATAGTTGATAGTAAAAAAAAAAACACGACTGTTACAAATAAGTATTACTAGAATATCTTATTTAAACTTATTTTTGCATGTGTGTATGTGAATAAGTCTAACATATATTTTCATTATAATAAAATATACATAATTATTTGTTCAGAAATAAAAATAGAATTTAAACCTCTCACACAAATACATATGTCTCATTTAATATTACTTTGTATATGTATATATACGTTTGCATGATCATGTATAATAAAGTCCAACGATGTCTCAATACAATCAATACATATAATATAGAAATTGCTAAAAACAGAATTCAAGTAAAATAATATAATCGTAAAGAATATAATGCACAATGATAATAAATTAGGCAATAAGATTTTTCATTACATTTCAATAAGTATAAAAAATTGTAAATATATATGTATATATATAAATTTCTGCGCTTGAATTTTTCGAATCTGTGTTTTCTAAGTGTTAACGAGATATACCTATATATATATAGGTATATTTTCGGTATCTTTTATGAATTAAAGTATATATTTATACTTTGATATAATTAAATATATCACAGCCAAGGTTGCCAATTTGTGTACATACGACCTAAAATATTTAGATCTTTCGCTTGATCCAATAAACAATCCACCTGAAAACATTGATAATTGAAATTTTTAACTGCAAAAAGATAAATTTGATTTGGTTCGCGCTATGTAAATATTTTAAAAAAAGAATTTTGCTTTATGATCGCAAATAATTTAAAAGCAAAATTTTTTCTTACCTGTTCAGCAGGCGTTAAACAATCGTTTCTTTTATCTGCCCTTGTTTGCCTGAATTCGTCATTGCCAGTAACGATAGCTTCATATCTCGCTAAGTATCTGTTGTTGTGCGTTTCTTTTAACTGCTCCAACGTGATGAGCGATGGGTGAATTCCGTTCAATTTTTTGACAACTACTTCAATATTTTTCTTGGACGACCACGTCGAGTCTGCGAATTGATGATCGTTTTTTATTACTTGAATGAATTTTAGTGAAAAAAATATCTGCACATTTTACAATGTAGAAGAAAAATTAATATAGAAAGAAGAATAAGGGTGTATTTTATACAAAAACGAATTGTTCCCCAAGACTGATATTGACATCATAGAAAATAAATAAAAAAGACTATATTGTTCTTGCTTACCGGTATCGATATTTTCTCGTGTCATTTCGTCGTTTAATGATCGACCAGCGGGTTTGTGAATGAAGATGTCCATGCAGGCGAGAATCGGACCTCGATCGTTGCGCAAAGCTCGCATCGCGTGGGTCATGATCGTCGCCATAAGGTCACGCTCGGTGAAGGGCCGCAGCAACTCGAGTATCTGCGGCGTCAGACGAAACGGCACGAGTTCCGGTATCGGCGCGCGTATACCGCTGCCGAACGAGTGGCCGAAGTCAATGCCCAGGCATCGTCCGGTAGCGACGCGAACCAGAGTGTTCTGCAGATTGCGATCGCCTATGCCCGCTATCCAATGCGCCGCGCACATTGTCGCGTAGCTCGTAACGAAGTTGCGTCGCAACGTAACGAAACACTCTGGCGACGTGCCGATCGCGGCGAACGTGTCACGCAGAGCGGTTTGTTTCGTAATTCCAATGAAGTGTTTCATTTTCTCCGCAACTGTTTGTTGACCGTACTTGGATATCGCCTCCTTGTAACCGTCAATCTCAAGCGACATTGGAGGTGCGGCATCCGCTATCCAGGACTTGTAGTTCCTGCGAATAGCATTGTGATTTTCTGTATCTTTACTCTTCATGCTGAATTCCACAAACTCCTCCAGAGATCTCGTGCCCTCGATCCATTGTATGAGACCGAGTGATCTTGAAAGTGGTATTACCTGCGCGAATCGAATAGATTATACATATTATAACAACACACGCTAAAATGCGAAATTCTTTGAAGTTTGGTATGAAGCAAAAGATTGATTTACCTCGTACGTATCTATGTCCAAGTGTCTTTGGCTACAACTGGCATCGTTGCGCAGAGTTCTGCTCATGGTGGCGTACAGTTGCTGCAAACCGCGATCGATCGTTAGGTCCTCGCCGAATTTAATCAGGAACTTGTACTCCCTTCCGTTGTCGCCTATCATACTAATGCGAATTGGTTTGCGCAGCGACGGCATGATCGCTACGTCGGGTCCGAAACGGGCAATTTTCACATGGCAACACGGCATGGGTTCCTTGTTGCCGGAATATTGTCCGGGTATCTCCAGTATATTGCCGCCGGTATAATTGTGCAAGAACGGGCTGTAATTCTTTAACTGGCTGTTGTAAATTTTTGCGCCTCTTTTACTGATTTTTTCGAGACGTTTGTTCAGAGACTTATCCAACGATTGTTTGATTTCTTGCACTTGTCTTCGCAAGTCATCTGGATTGTCGCGATTAATGTTTTCTATTTTCCTTACGCAGTCCGCAAATTGTTGATAAACTTTACCCAGTCGAGGATTGTTTCTATTCGCTACTTGGCTACCGAAGATCGGATGAATTCTGTGAAGCAACAGTGAGTTGAAGGCCGCAACTTCTCCCCGTAAATGTTCTTTCACCGCCTCATCGAGATGATATTTTAGATACAATTCCGGTTGCGTCACACACCGTATTGCTTCCAAGAACTGTTCGTACTCCGTTGCTTTGCTGCCCAAAAGCGAGCGTAATTTCTGCTGACGTATATCGGGAGTTCGCTCGATGGCCAAGTAATTGTATATAACCGCGTCGGGATAAGTTTCGGCAAGTCTCTCGACAATCGGTGCAACCGCGTCCGCGATTGACGTATTCAGGTGAGAGAACAACAGGTCGCGCCAGCGCAGAAACAACCACGGCTGTAGCACAGCGCACTCTCGATCGAATATCTGTCGCGTTTGTTCGTACCGCAAATGCTCCGGTTTTAACAAACAAGGAAAGTAATGCGTAGCCTCGAGATAACCGTAACGCATGGACTTGAGAGTGGACGACATGAAGCAGCGGAAGATCTCGTCGCTCTCCACATCGGTAGTCGTCAATCTGTTGTAGCAATGTTTGGCCAGAGCGCAATAGTGCTCGCCAACATTGCTGGCACCGGTCGTTTCAGCGTCCTCGCAGCACATACGCAACATGTCCGAGCTGTAACGCAACAAATCTCGTCTGACGGTGTCCAAATCGACGTTCGTTGCTTCTGCGTTTCTTATCTTCCGCAGGATCACGGTGTTCTTCGTCAACTCGCTCGCGAACCTGTCGTTTTCTCTGCTGTAAGATTCGATTTTTGACGCCATCACACCGATGTGTTGCTTGAAGGCGGTACACAGCTCACCGTCCATATGCTGTCCGTTCGACAACAGTTCGTGCGAGCATTTCCAGGAATCGGTATAAGCGCTCATCTTGATTTCAGCGTCTGATTCGAGATCGGCGCGCAGACTCTTGGCTCGGGCCTCGAACCACGTCAAAGGAACTTCCATGTTCAGATAACGAACGCCTTTTATTTTTATCATGCAATTCAAATATTTCTCGGCTATGTATCGATGGTTCTGATTTAACGCGGCATCGCCAACGTCCAATCGAAGCTGAATACCGGCCCGACGCATTTGCTCCACGACTTCGTGTTTTCTTGCGCGACCATTATCATCATTATCGTCATCGATTATACGACAGTCGTCATCATCGTTATCGTCATCGATTACGTGACAGTCGTCATCGTCATCCATAAGTTCTTCGATCAACAACGAAGAGAACAATCGAAAGGCAACTAATTTGTTCCACTGTATGAGATTGTCTCGAATCGTGGGTGATTTTGTCGACCAGAAATTCAATAGATCAGCCAATCTGTCCACGCGATCGGTCTCGTCTGTACATCGAAGTACCTTTAGCGAAGCGTCGAGATCGCTTATAGCTTGCAACTTCTGTAAATTGCGTATTCCCAGTTCGGCGCAGAGAGGATTCAATCCGACCCATTGCTCCGCCGTTTTGTCCAGAAGATCGTTCAACAGATCGATCACTTTCTGTTCTTTGTACGACCTCAACAGGCTCATCAACAGATTCTCGCCTATCGTTGACTTGAGATACGCCATTTTGTCTCGATCGTTCATCCACGATTCGATAACTTTCATATCACTGTCCCTCGACGACCAGACTTCTCCCATCCCGTACATGTACGTGTACGCGTCGGAGACGTACGGAATCATCCAATCTTTCCACGAGTCGTTCCAGATATTGTTCAAATCTCTGTTTGTCCGGCTTTTCACGAGTCTGTCAATTGCCGACCAGTCGCACAAGTTGTTCACGGCTTCGAACAATCCTTGCACACAATGTTCCTTCATCGAAAAAATCTCTGTTTGTTCGCAACCCATTTCAAATGCGTGTTTCGCTTGAATCCAATTGCCGCTCGCTGCCGCAAGAGCCGCTTCCTGTGAAATAAAAATAATATTTAAAAAAAAATCTCAGAGAAAGGACAAATAGTTCCAAAAAAAAAAATGTAAATTTCAAACGTGACAGCCAGTTGGAACTAAAAAACACAGGTGTTGTTGTGCGAATATGTGATGAAAATATTATTTATTCAAAAATAATTAAAATAGACCTTCTCAGCCTTTGGGACTACTGTTCGAGGTAGTTAAAATTTCAAAACTTAAGTGCTACGGTGGAACGTTTCGATCATTTATTTGTTTTTGATCATCTTCAGCCACACTGAATGGAATACATAAAAGATTAGGAAGCGAAAAGCAAAATACATATTAAAAAAAAATACATATTATTTATTCATGTATATAAATGAAACATAATAACGTGACTGTCATGCACAGCTCTTGTTTGCGATACGACTTATTGTTAACATCTTACTTATCATCATTGTATTGTTCGAAGTTTGTTAAAACAACACATATTTAATTTGTAAAGACCTAAACGGAAGGTCGAAACGTTATTATGTTTCATTTATATACATGAATAAATAATATTTCCATCAAATATTCGCACAACAACACCAGTTCCAACTGCCTGTTACGTTTGAAATTTAAAAAAATCTCTCATTCTGTGAAAACAACGTTTTAATAACGTTCAAAATAACCTGTATATGTTGGCCGAACGATTGCCGTTCTCTGAAGATACTCGAAACGACGTCGACGTCGTTCAGCGATTTGTAAAGGAACGCCAATTGCGCCCACTTGTTGGTCTCTTCGTTGCGTACGTCGTCATCTTGTCTTCGCATTCGTTTTATCGGTGACACCGAATCGTCGTTCGACAGTAATAAACTTTGTTCCAGGAGAAGAGTGCCGAGAGTGTCCAACCCGTTTATTTTGGAGATCTTCATTACGTCTCGCGGATTGCAGTCGACAACTCTCAGCTTTAACAACGTTTCCAAGATAATGGCACTGAACGAGCTGCTTCTTTCGCTCGATTTTTGCAGGATTTTTTTCAGCTTTTCTACAATGGTTTGAGAAAAATCGTCGGATCCCTCCGTCTCTTCTACGTCCTCGATCAACGCGCACAACAGGGACACGGTCACATCTTTGCAAATCAATCGGTCCAACTTTATCAACTGTTGAAGCGGCACGATTAAACTCGAATGAGGTATCTGGATGTCGGGAAAATCTCCTATTCGATAATCTCTGAAAGAGAAGCAAACATTTCTCGTTACGAGATATAATTTAAAAAAATCAAGGATCAAGTAATGGTTACCTTGGCCTCACCTGTACAATCTCACGCTGCTTTGTTGTCTGACGTTTTCTTGCTTTATCATCTCCGCTCGTTGCTCGTTCTTCTGTATTTGTTTGCGACGATAATGCGCTACATCCAACGAGTTCGTTAGAAATCTGGCTGAAGCTTTTCCCTGCAACGTTGTCGGTCGCGGTTGTCTTATTCGATTGAATTCGGTATCGAGCGACGCGATATCGAATGTCGCGGTCGCGGGTTTGTCCTCGTCCATTAGAGTTTGCTCAAACCGCGAATCCTGCGTCGCGCGAAGTCTCAACGGGTAGCCAAAAGAGGCGCGCGAATAGACGGACGTAGCTGCGCTATTGCAGCTCTGGGAGAGATAACTGCTGAGAGATAACTGATTGATCTGGGAGGCGAGCGAGTCAACGAATATCGGCGCCACGCTGCTCAGGTTCTGCCTGCACCGGAAATTAGGTACTTTGTAATTTTCGAAAGGAGAGTTAGAGTGCAACGGCTGTTCGAACATCTTCTTGGTGTAATCTCTCGTTTGGGTGGTCAGCTGCAACATCAACAACCCCACAAACGACGCGAACACGTTGTCCGGCATCGTTGTCACTTGTGACGAGTACATATCCAGCAGCGTGATCAAGCGTTCCTTTGGACTGCATCTGGAAAGCTCCGTTTCCTCCGTCCAGAATTTCAATATCTTCTCCTGCAGATCGGGACACGAATCTATCAGACCAGCCAGCAGATTCTGCGTGCTGACAAACATCAGATCTTGCACAGTCGCGTCGTCATTAGCCGCTATGTCAACCGAATATTTCTTGTGAACGCTCACGAGCACGTCGTAGACCAATTTTCGATGTTCCGCGATATTGTCTCTGATATATCGAATCACCAGTTTTATATAAGAGAACAGAACCGTGGGCGAGACAATCGTCACCATGCGGTGAACAATGTGCAGCGCCATTTTTTCGCATATAGGATTTTCAAGAATTCTTTCCAGTCTTATGTTGTGCAGATAGTCTACTAAGTCTATCGCGTCGATCTTTGGCATCGCTAGAAAGAATATTTCCAGACAGTGAGATTTATTCACATCCTTGGCCATGGCGCTGATCGCGATGCAAACGTAATTCACAGCTAAGTCGGGACAAGCGCGACAGAGGTGAGCAATGCGTTTTATTTGCTTGATCATGTAATGAAGCGGTTTTTTGGATGCGCCAAGGATGTCAACGATTCTCTGTTGCAACTCACGTCCCTTGTTCTCCGTTCCGGTTTCGTTGCGCATGATGAACTTCAGACACAATCCCAGGCACTCGCAACTCAGCAGACACGTCATTTCGGAACGTTTGGACGTTTCCCACTTGTCCAGTTGGTCCAACAAAAATTCGACGACGTCATCCGTCGCGACGATCACTTCCGTCATGTCGTTTTGGAGAAAACTCAGTATGAGATTTACCGCGACATTCGGTGCTCTCATAATCTTATTCATCAGGACGCCGTTCGGCATTTGCAAACAACCACGCCACTTCTCGACCATATTCCTCACAAGGTTGATATTATACTTGCAGATGTATATGTCGTCAGACTTTCTGGACGATTCTTTGTTAACAACTTTTTCGACAACTACCTCGAAGAGCTTTTGAATTTCCGGTTTGTCGTTCTCGTCCGGTGTGACCGTGTCGCGCCAGTCCATTAGCATCTCTAGAATATCTGTAACAATGTAGTTCAAATTCTGCTGCTCCAAATAATTAGCGGTGATTTTGACAACAGACGTCAGCGCGAACCTAGCATGAGGTTTGAACACATCAGCCGCGTTCCAAACAATCTTCAGCAAGAATAATTGGATGTTCGGATGACTGGGTGCTAGACAACCGTTGAAAAAGAACTTCAACCACTCGGGCTCCTCGTTGTTCGATCCGAAGAGATTTTTGACACGTTGCAACAAAACGTAGATATACGGCATGCACTCGTGCTCGTTAAAATTGTCGCTTTCCAAGATAATGCTCGTTGCGCCATGCGACTGGGACGAATCGAAACTGTTGCTTGACGTCACAGAACGTTGCGAATTGGACGGCAGCAGGTCGCATCTGTTGAAATCGTAGGCGTTTATGTCTTCGCTCAGTGTGCACGTCGACAGATCATAGCTGTGAATATACGTGTACTCGCACGTTTCCACTCTCATAGCGGATTTGATGTGGACAGTAATCTTGCGATCCTTCGGCTTCTTCTCGAAGGTCTGGCCGAGTTGGTAAAACTTTTTACAGTCCACAAGATTTTCCCAGATAAAATCAGAACCTTGACTACAGAACGCTGCTTTGTAGAAACGCTCTTCCTCTTTCAGACATATTATCGCCAACGAACAGTTGTACGCGGCGCAATGCAGCTGACGCGCGAGCTCGTCGCAGTCGGGTCGCGTTATCCTCAAACCTCGTGTATTCCAGGTGTTGCGAAACACTTCGCAAGAAAATGTTTTATTGCCAGTCACGATCGAGCTGTTCATGTCGTCTATCTTGTTCTTGTCTATCCGAGAAAACATGATTGTCATCAGCTGAAAGTATCCGATCTTCGATACGATCACTCGTTTGACGCTGTTATCGTTGTCATTGTCCGTGCGTTGTTCAGCGATCTCGTGCAGCTCGCGGACGTTGCGCTCGAAGAAGCTCTCGATTGTGACCGTGTCGCAGAATTCAAACGACGGCAGAAGAAATCCGCGCAGAACGTCGAGTCTCTCCGCCTCGGTATTTCCATTCATAAACGCGCGATAAGTCTCTTCGAGCGATCGCAGGACATGCTCGCTCGACGACTCGCGATAGTATCTGTGTAGATACTCCTTCAGCTTCTCGTCGAACAGACGATCGCCGGCACCGGCGGCAAAATGTATTACGCATCTGAGCGTTGTCACCGACTTGGTCGCCAACAGCAGCACCAACAGCGTTTCGAAGCTGTTGATCATCGTCATGACATTTGTTGCGCTTGGTTCGGATATTAGATTTCGACTTCGACTCAACGTCTGCTGCAGAATACCCCACAGTTCGATCTTGTCGTTATCGCGATCGGTCGCGTCCGTCAAACAAACGAGGAAGTTCCGCAGAATCAGCATCTTGTATTCAAAACTGTCGTTGCGAGTCAATTGGTCCAGGATCCATTCGTAGAGCTCGCGAGATGCTTCCGTAATTTCCGTAGGTTTAGACACGAGACGCACCGTGGTTCCGTAGATGTTCAACAATCTCTCTCTGCGACTATCGACGTTGTCGACAACTTTCTTCAGACACGTGAACTGTCGCAGAATTATATTCACCGTCTCGTCTACGTGCGTCTGCAGTTCACGTCTGTGTCGTTTCAGAAACAACACCAAATCCTCGATCCATTTGAGCGATAAGTCCGGATTGTTGCGCGACACTTCCTCAAAGACAGACGCAATCGCGTCCCGATGGGTTAATATGTAATTGAAGATCACGCTTTTAAATTTGTTCAAAAAGTAATCGCCGTGCGCGATCTTCGCGGAATCAGAACTGCTGATTATCGGAACGTCGTTCGATATTTGTTTAACCAGCGTGTTGATCATCGACCGAACGTCAGCGGGTCTCGCTATTAACGAAAGTCTAAATTCCATCAGAATTTGCAGATACTCGTCCATCGACGCGGTCAGATCTCTGCAAGTAAATTCTCCGAGACGATTGCTCACTAGAAATTGGAAAATTTGCACGACTACGTCGTCGTTGTCTTCATTTTCACAAAACTCGCTCATTTCCAAATACGCGAGCATATCACATCGCTTTAGCAACATCAAACCGTTGACCTTCTGAGTCATTTCGATCTCAGAAGAGTTTTGCGCGATCTCGTGCAGGTCGCGAAATTTCGCTGCAAGCGATTCCTGAGAGGAACGCAAACAACGCGCGATGTTGTTCGGCAAATTGACGAGTCTTGCTTTCATGGAATTCAACAGAGCTTCTAGAACACACGGCAATCTGTCCGTCATCTCGATGTTCTTGACATCGAAACCGATCGTTCTGGGACACATCACGCACTGGACAATTAATTCGCACAACGATTCAGTCCACAATGATTCTGGTAGAATGTTGACCTAAAAAAAAACAGTCAGTTAATCATCAATTTGGTTGTCCAATAAAAAAAAATCAGTTCGCTTAGCTCAACTAAATAATAAGCAAATAAAATGCAACTCACGTCGACGTTTAGCAACACTTGTAAAAAATTGAACGTAGCCATCAGAGCTTTGCACTGTAGCTCCCGCAGTTTGAATTCTCCAAATAATTTTGTCACCGGTGTAACCGTCGAAGGTTCCCTGATCGTTTGAAGAAATTGTTGAGCGAAATCACCAATGCAAGAAAAGATAGTGTGATCCTCATTGGCGGGAAAAAGAATTTCTACTGGCAGCAACTGTTTCTCCATCAACCACACGTAGTAATCCAGAGCTTTCAACAACGACATCACATTGTCAGCCAAGGAGATATCTTTCGCACACGATGTCAAATCTTTCAGAATGATATCGCACAGTCGATCCCTCCCGTAAGTGCGAACGTAGGTCTGCGTCGTCTCCCGAGCTGTACTGCCGATGTACCGCGATATGTTGACGTATAATTCCATGCATTTCGCGCGACAACGTTCGTTGAGAACTCCACACCGCGAGAGCAACCAGTACAGAGCGTGAGTGAGGTCTGGTTTGTCGAACTCGGGCGGTTTTTCCCGATCGCGATCATCATCGTTCGTATCGTTCAGAAGATCCGCTTTGATTTCGATCACTTTCTCGATGTGAGCCAGCGCGTTTGTGATCGACAAGTCGTCGCATCCGTCCAAGCTTCGAACGAAACAGCAAAATATCTCGAGCCAATAATTCGATACAACGTCATCGTCTTCGCGCAAGATCCTGTAAAGATGATTGAAGGCCACGGCCGCGGCTATGCGTTTGTTCGCTAACGGATGCAGAGCGAGATTGTTGATCTTTTGAATAATCTTACGCAGTTGATTTGATTGAGTTTGCGCGGCCGACTCTTGTCTGAGGAATAAAAAAAAGAAAACCTAAATTTTTTTATGACGTGCTTTGTAATAGAAAAAAAGACAGATATTAGCAATGTGAAAAAGAATAAATTACAATACCTGATCGACCAGTCCGTGAATTCCGCCAGACACATGCCCGCAAACTCGCGCATCGCGGGGTTTAGATTGTCCGTTAACGAATCGAGCAGATGATCGATCACGGAATTCGTTAGTTTGGGTATGGAGCTAAGCCAGTGCATCAACTGCAACGCTAACGGACGATAGAGATTGCGCACAACCTCGTCGCCGTCGCAACCGAGTGCGAGTACGGTCGGACACAGATCATCGTAGACAGCTAGATAATTTTCGTCGTTCGAGTTTTGCTTGGTGGTGCCGGCGACGAGAGCTACCAACGAGTGCAACACCTCGCAGGCCGCAATCTTGGTGCGTCGGTCGCTGGATTCGCGCGCCAATCTCATCACAATCGGCAATATTCCGTCGAAGTAAATTTTTGGTCGTATTTCGTTTGGAAACGGCACGACGTACCGAATCAGATCTTTGTGATCCCAGGACGCGCCTGTACTGCGCGAAGCGCGATCGTACGCGAAGTCCGACAACAGATCGTGATCGAGCGATCCGAGAAATAACAGAACTTGTCGCTGAAAGTTTCGCAATGTTCTCTCGGTGTCGATCACGTCAACGCGCTTCGCGCGCTTTCTCGCCATTAGCGTCGTCAGATTCTGCGAAACGTCGACGGAACTCTCCGTGCTGCGCAGATACGGTTCCAGGTACGGAACGAGTTCGCGCACCAATTCGTTTGTTCGCTCCCGTTTCTCCATCGTCGTCGTAACATTTCCTCCTGTTGCGATCGTCCATGTCTTCAGAGCGACGAGAGCGGTGTACGCGAGTTCCAAGTTGCTCAGACCAATGGCGAACGCAATCTTGAACATCGGCAGCGTGCGCGGAAGCACGTTCTCGACGTACGTTAGAGGCGCGTTCAGAATCAAATGGAGACACGCGGCCAACAATTGTATGTTGGAAAACGCGGGGATCATGTCGAGAGTGTGTATCACGTAATTAGACAGAAGCTCTCGCGTTTGCCACGTCCTTTCGTTTCTTTTCTCTTCTTCTTCTTCTTCCTCTTCCGATACGCAAGCGGTGAAAATCTTCATGCCAACTCGAGCCAGGCTGTAGAAGCCGGATATCAGCGGATATTTATGCGAGAATCGCACGATTTCGTGAAGAAATTTGTGCACCATATTGATAAACAACGAAGGCTCGGATTTGTCGATTACATCAACGTAAAGGTCCACGAGATTTGTAAACACACGGAAATCCGTTTGATTCACGGCGCTGTGGGTGAGAGCCACGTCGGATAGAGCGGTATGCTCTTCCGTTTGCTTCACGCGTAGATCCAATCGATCGATATAATTGACGCACACATCCATCAGAGTGTTCGCGACAAGTTGAACAAGGTCCTGCCTGTGATCGAACTTTTCGGCGTCCAGCAATGTTGTCCACAATGGCAAATAATTTTTGTAACATATCGGCGTCTGTTCTAAATTGTTCAGTTCGCGTTGTAACTCCGCATCGACTGCCAATGTGTGAGAACAGCTCCACGCGATGCCATCAGAAACTGATCAAAAAGATAAAATTTAGTAAAAAACGATTATTTCTCTCTCTCTCTCAAAAAAAATCGAAAAGTTGTCATTATTTTCATACGATTGAGTAATTTGATTGGGTAATTCTGTTTAAAAATTATTGTATAAATAAAATATTGTTGTCTCAAGGTGTCGTCATATACAGCAAGCAAATTTACATCGAGAGTTTTATCAATTAAAATAAAAATAAATTGATATATTTACTTACTTATATCATTGAGATATCGCTGCAGCAGATTTTTATTGATACTTCCGAGTTTGCAAATAGTTTTAATCAATGATGAAACGACAATTCTATTATCTACCTCGGGAAATCTCTTGATTGTGCAGATACTAACTTTTACAAGAACGTTAATTTTTTCACTCGTAACGTCGGATATCTCACAAAGTATTGCAGACAGTTCTTCCTGATAATGACATATCTTCTCTATGTTTTCTACGCTACTTTGTTCGCTTAAAGAAAACAAAAAAAAAATTGATATTTAAAATTTCTAATGTAACACATTAATATTAGTTTTATACCATATATAATCACAAGAATATATAGTGAATATATATATATATGGTGTCATACTTGAAACAAAGAGGTAGCACATAGCTGGTTATCATCGAATACATTTCTCTGACGTTGCTCTCACCGAAATACATTCTGCATGGCGCAGCCATCTGACTGAATCCGTAAATAGTAAGTTGTAACGTAATTGAATCTAAATTAGTGTCCTTCAGTACCGTCTGAAACTCCTGCTGAAAATACTAAAATAAAAACGTAACTTTGTTATTCGTGCAGTTTTCTACATCTCAGCACGTAAAAAGCTGTTTCTTTTCACTTGACAATTTGAAAATTATTAACCGTTTGAGTCCCAAGCAGCGCGATCGCGCTGTTGAGATTTTATGTCGAGAAAACCCAGTACATTATCGAGCAAAGCGCGGTTGCGCTGTTTGGGATTCTTCGACAGTGTTTTATCAATACCCCCTGGGACTCAAACGATTAATTATTTTAAGAAACAATTGAAATTTTATAAATTGAAATTTATAAGTAGAAAATTACGTATTTTTAACGCGCTGCTTACCAATAATATACTTTTGTTCTGAGGAATATTTTGCTCCGTAAGAATCCGTCCGATAACTCGATAAAATGTTTTCAAAGCTCGCTGTCCAGTAATAGCGGAACTGAGTCTGTTCTCGCGCGATAAGCGCCTAAGAACGTCGTACCAGTGTTTGTAATCATTATATACTAATCTCTGAAAAAATTCTACATGACTACTTAGGAGCGTAATCCCCGACTCCTTTGCCATTTTGCCGTGTTCCTGATTATTTTGTCGACTGAGATGCTTTATCCACTCATATGACACAGAAAACAATCTCTCTCTCATCTTGTCCGGTGGTTGGAAATTATTATTGTTCAATATATCCAAAAGGACATCGAAATATTTATGAAACTCCATGGGTGGAACATCTTGAAGTTTATGCTAAAATCATATAAGATCCTATAAAAATTTATTAGTTTCCCAAAGGAATATCTCTAGGGAATTGTTTAACATTTAAATGGTTTTTTTTAAATAATTTGTATCGCTCTCATCTCTTTTTTTACCTCTTGAAAGGCATCGCAATACAATTGTTGAAAAATAGTTGTTTTACATTTTGATGGCAGATCTATATCGCTTTTGTGTTTAATTATTTTACCAAGTACAAAAAATATCCATCTTCTTTCTGTAACAGAAAATAACAAAAAAAATTCTTTTCACACAGATCAAAAGTAAAATATGTTTGTTAAGAGAGTTTTTACCTTTCAGGTCGTATATGTAAAAGTTACATGCAAAATGCTCGACTGTCTCAGTCAGCTCTAAATGCTCGTCATTCCCAAATAATTCAATTAATGTTGCAAAGGCTTTGCAAGCATTTTTGAAGATATATTGAGTAGTCTTTTTAGTCAGACCTGACATACAAACATCCTAAAATATACCGCAACGATGTATTTATTTATCGCTATTTATCAAAATAATATTTTTTATTTATTAAATAGTTTCTATATAGAAAATTTTATGTAATACATAATGCTATATGTAATTTTTATTTTCTGCAATACCTTAATCTTGTTGATATATCGCGGAAAGCAGGAAGTCTTGTGGAAATTCTTGATACAAAACTCAAGAAAGGCAAATCCATGTTTAAGCGCGTTATCAACATGTGGATTTTTACTCGAAGATCGATTTTCAAACTCATCGTTCAGAAAATACAACAAGCCGTCTTTTGGGTCAAATATAGTACTTACAATAGATTCTTAAAAAACACACAAAGTATAATTAATTATGCAATTAAAAGTGATAATGTACAGTGAAATGAAATTCTTATTCAAATGTAATATTCACCACAATGTTCGGTTGAAACAATTGTGAGAAGCTTCCAATTGTCCTCCAAGTGACTCGCCAAAGTAATATATTCTCTCCTGGATATAGCGCACTTAAATAATTCCAAAAATTCTTCGTGAGAATTCATTGTTTTGCTTTTCTGTGTTCGAGTTTGAAATGCATCGAACGTGGGTTAGGGTTGGGTTGGGTTAGTGTCATGCAGCTGTGTGTATTGTTAACACATATTCCTGTTGTCAAAATGATCAAACGTGATTTTTTTCAGACAATCGAGGAGCTCGAATCATTCTGAAAATATTAATATCACAGAAAAACCTTTCTGTTAACGTCACAACGAAGATAAGATTAACTTCAGCAGAAAGACATAAAACTCGCAGAAACTAGTTGCGTTCAGAAACATCAATGGGTGCGTTCGGACAACTCAACAGTTGCACAACGGTTGAGAGATAATGGGTGCGTTCAGACAACTCAACGGTTGAGAGATCGTCACTTATGATAGGACTATTCTTCAAGATCTGATGCGGTTCCAAAAGTACGATCCAATCAGAAGTGATTATCTCTCAACCGTTGTGCAACCGTTGAGTTGTCTGAACGCACCCAATCACTTCTGATTGGATCATACTTTTGGAACCGCTGCAGATTTTGAAGAATAGTCCTATCATAAGTGGGTGCGTTCAGACAACTCAACGGTTGAGAGATCATCGCTTATGATAGGACTATTCTTCAAGATCTGCAGCGGTTCCAAAAGTACGATCCAATCAGAAGTGATTATCTCTCAACCGTTGAGTGCAACTGTTGAGTTGTCTGAACGCACCTAATTATTGTTGTTTTCTGAACGCAACTGACATTGCAGAGCGAACGCGGCAACTGTTGGCGGCTCTGCTAATTGTCACCAGCTGTCACTATACTACAAACATGGCGGCAGTGGTGTCTGTTGTGTGATGTCTGTTTAAAGATCGGTAATCGAATTTAAAAAGTTTTGTTAAAACGAATCGCAATTACTGTCGGGGTAATAAAAACGTCAAGCGCCATGGGCAACGCTGACACTAAAATGAATTTTCGAAAGGCCGTTGTGCAGTTGACATCGAAAACTCAGGTAAGAGCAGCTACTTGTTTACTTGTCCAAGTCAAGTAACATACGATTAAAAGTGTGATAACGAAGAATGATTGATAAGTCGATGATAAGTAATATAATTTTTAATAAAACTTGACTTTTTGTCTTACAGCGCAGATTGCAAGATTAGATTAGTTTCTTTTATATATATGTGTGATATATTAACATTCTAATATATAATTTTGTATATTAAATTAATGTAATTCATACTATAGTTTAATGTATATAGATTGTAAAAATGCAAATAATTTGACTTGACTTGCTAGAAAAAAATTGTGTGTATATTTCTTAAAATAAATTCATAGTCATTTAGAATAAAATGTTTTATATACTCTCATAATATATATACACAGGTGATTGATACATCAGATGATATATTCTGGGATCAATTCTGGTCTGAGAATGTGACCAATGTGCAAGACATCTTTACTCTGATACCAGCTCCTGAGATTCGTGTACTGAGAGAGGAAGCGCCTTCCAATCTGGCAACATTATGTTACAAAGCGGTTGAAAAATTAGTCAAGGCTGTGGATAGTAGCTGCAGAACTCAGGGAGAGCATCAAACAGTTCTGAACTGCTGTCGTTTGCTCACACGCTTGTTACCTTATATATTTGAAGATCCTGACTGGAAAGGATTTTTTTGGTCTAGTTTACCTGGCAAAGATGATGAAGAAAGCTTACCACTGGCACATTCTCTGTTGAATGCACTTTCTGTAAGTAACCTTGTTTTTTATATATATACATTTTAAAAAGATTATTTAGTAATTTAAATACAGCGCATAATAATAAATTTTATCATTTACGTGACATAAAAATGTGTATATTTTTAAAACAATGTATATATTATATTTGTTTTTTAGGATTTGTTGTTCTGTCCTGATTTTACAGTAGCTGCAAACAGAAAGTCAGGTCCAGTGAGTTTTTATCTTTATTAGCTTGTTTATAAGAATAAAATAAGACAAAGGACAGAATGTGTTACATGTCATTTTTGTAGGACAAAGCTGATGAATTGCAGTCAATAGACAGTTGCGAATATATTTGGGAAGCAGGTGTAGGTTTTGCGTATTCGCCACCCAGGTATCCTATTCTGGATTCTAACCGGACGGAACTGCTGAAGCTTTTGTTAACATGCTTCAGCGAAACTATGTACAATCCGCCGACCGACTTGTCTGTTACACCGAACAGGTGGATTCAACATTTGACTAGTAGCGAAAACAGGCAAGTTATTTTTATTAGTTTTTATTTTGATTTAATTATCAATTGTTAATTTTTTTATTCCTAAAGAGAGGAGATCTTTGTCCTTGTGTGATATTTTCTGTATAATCTGTTTTTGTCAATAATTTGTGCTGATAACTTACAGTATATATATATATATATATATGTATTGTTTCCAGACACGCTTTGCCTATGTTTACATCGTTACTGAACACGGTATGCGCATATGATCCGGTCGGTTATGGAGTACCGTACAATCATTTGCTGTTCACCGATTCCTTAGAACCGCTAGTGGATGTCGCTCTGCAAATTTTGATTGTGACTTTGGATTACGATACCACAGGCGGAGTGCCATTGGAGGAGGGTGCAGCCGGAGATAATTTATTCATTAATTACTTAAGTCGAATTCATCGCGACGAAGGTGATTTTTGTTTCAGATACCAAAGGATAAAATTATCAAGAAGACTGGAATATATTATTCTTTTTTTTTGTTTTCTTTCAGACTTCCAGTTTGTCTTGAAGGGTATCACAAGGTTGTTGAACAATCCATTGATGCAGACATATCTACCAAATTCGACCAAGAAAGTGCACTTTCACCAAGAACTGTTAGTTTTTTTCTGGAAGATGTGCGATTACAACAAGAAATTCTTGTACTATGTGTTAAAGAGCTCAGACGTTCTCGAAGTTCTCGTTCCGATACTTTATCATTTGAACGATTCACGTGCTGATCAATGTAAATTTCTATTATTTCTATTATAATCTGTAATATCTTTTTGAAGCAAACTAGATATTTTTAAGATTTTTTTAAATTGAGGAATCAATTATTTTCGATTTTACAGCACGTGTTGGTTTGATGCACATCGGTGTGTTTATCTTGCTTCTTTTGAGCGGAGAACGGAATTTCGGAGTGAGATTGAACAAACCGTATACAGCTACAGTGCCTATGGATATCCCCGTTTTTACCGGTATATAACATAAAATACTAAATATATCGTTTCTGATGAACTTTAAGAAACAAATTTGTTTTTTTTTTTTTCTGTAGGAACGCATGCCGACCTTCTAGTCACTGTGTTTCACAAAATCATCACAACCGGTCATCAAAGATTGCAACCGCTATTCGACTGCCTGCTGACTATTTTAGTCAATGTCTCGCCGTATCTCAAAACGCTGTCTATGGTGGCCAGCACCAAACTGCTGCATTTGTTGGAAGCATTTAGCACACCGTGGTTCCTTTTCTCAGCGCCCACAAATCACCATTTGGTGTTCTTTTTGCTCGAAATTTTTAACAATATTATCCAAGTAAATTTATTATTATTCTTATCAGCTTCTTCACATTTTAACGCATTTGCTTATTGTCAACGACAATTTATTTACATTGCTTTTGCAGTACCAGTTTGACGGGAACAGCAACTTAGTCTACACTATAATACGCAAGCGACAGGTGTTTCATGCTCTGGCAAATTTGCCAAGCGATTGTAATACGATCGCGAAGTCGCTAAGTAAGAGACAGCGTCGTCACGTACCCGCCAGCATGTCTAACGAAAATGTCAGTGAAGCCGCGATGGAAGGCTCGCATCCTGCGTTACCCGCCGAACCTGGCACCTTGAAGGCGTCGTTATTGGAGACTCCTGGTAAGTTTGTTTCATGGAATAAAAGTTGTAAAAGAGTTGCAAATTTGTTTGCAATTTATTTCATCCACTTTTACCAATAGGTATCGAAAACATGACGGAAAAGGAATCGGCGCACCCGCTGAGTCCATCGGCGAGCGTCGATATCGGCAAATCGATCAATAATCGATCGGAGAGCAAAACGGACATTGCGGAAGAATCGCCAAACACACCGAAAAATTCTGTGGTACCTGTAAGAGCAATAAAACATTTGTTTTTATAAACTAAAATATGAAATCCGGCTGATAATAATAATTGAATTTGTTTGGTGAAACAGAAAGGTGGCATTCGCGTGTCCGAGCAAGCGAATTCTCACGTCAATAATGTAAATCAGTGGGTACCGTCCAGCGAGTGGGTATACCAGTGGAAAAGCAAACTCCCGTTACAGACTATCATGCGATTGCTTCAGGTCCTCGTGCCGCAGGTCGAGAAGATCTGTATTGACAAGTAAGCACGTCCCGATTCATTCTCCGATTAAGGAAACAAAATAGCAACGAAAAGACTAAATGCTTTTGCTTTTTCCGTTATTTCCCGTCATATTCTCTCTTATCATTTTATTATCAGGGGACTGACGGATGAGAGCGAGATCTTAAAGTTCCTCCAGCACGGCACCTTGGTCGGTTTGCTTCCAGTGCCGCATCCTATTCTCATCAGGCGATATCAAGCTAACGCTGGCACCACCGCATGGTTCCGCACGTACATGTGGGGTGTCATATATCTAAGAAACGTTGAACCACCGATATGGTACGACACGGACGTCAAGCTGTTCGAGATCCAAAGAGTTTAGATAATCGAGCCGAGGTTTTTCGTTATTGTTTGTGCTCGAAATATTATTTTTATTGACAGAATACACAAGAAAGGTAAGTCTCGTTGAATTTCTGAGAGAATTATATATCGTTCCTCTGAATATTGATTATAAGATTGACGGATTCATTTTGATTGACGAATGCAACTCCTTTTTTTTTTTTTTTTTTTGTACAAACTCGGGAAAGTATTTTTTCAGCTTTAAGATAAATTTTCGAATAGATAAGAACCGGACAAGAACGAAAAGAACGAAATAAACGCGTTCTAGTTACGTTCTAGTGTTTGCTAATTACTTGTTTAGATTTTATACACACATCAAGAGCATTTTTAAAAGTATTTTTTTAATTTTGTCGCAATATAATTCTGTACATTTGATATACGAGATCAAATGTATGATATTCAATTTCTCGCGAGTTATTATCTTAATTCAAAGACTCTAATTTCGCTATACATCACAATGATATATATTTGTAGTGAAAAAAAAAAAAAAAAAGAAAAAAAAACATGTATATCGTCGGTCTTAAGGAACAATTCGGTGAAACGAATTTATCTCTTGATTTTCCAAAGTCTCTAAGAATATAAATCATCAACCTAGAGACCTTAGAATTTATCGGTATTTATACAATGAATAATTTTTGTAGATAAAATTTTTTATTTAGTATTTTATCAAATTTTTATTGTACATAAAAAATTATAAAGACAAGGAAGTTTTTCCGTAAAGTGGAAAAATTAGAATTTTATTTTCCCGTGGGAATAAAAAAAAAAAAAAAACGAAACTTTTTGTAAGAAACACCGAAGTTCAGATAGTGTTTGAGAAATTAATATAGATACATGTAATATTTATGTTACAATACTTTTGTGTGTATCGTATTATAAAGTTTTTTAATATTAAAAATAGTGTAATTCTTCGGCAGTGCAAGAGTGTTTCTTGCTTTTTTTAAGACGTTTTTATACAATCCTATTTTAAATAATAATACGAGAAAAGCGAGCTTACAAACAAAACTTTGTATATTTTAAACTTTACTTACATTTTCGCATTTATATTTTATATACAATCGCTGTAATTTTATAGTTTTGAATTTCTATAATTTTTAAACTTATATTATTATTAAATTTTATATTACATATTAATGATCTTCTCTAAATAGAAACATTTAGGAATATACACTATATATATATATATGATTATTTTTAAAAGAACACTCCATGACTATTTTATTTTTTAAGACCGGCGGTATATCGCATAGAACGATTGTTATATATTAAAGCTATAGAAAATTCACTTTTTTTTGCAATATCTTCACAGAAGAGTTTTTATTTATTTTTTATCGCCGTGTATTTTGCGTGTATGACTGTAAAACCAAAGAATTATATGTAACATGTTCATTTATGTATATTTAAAAATCAATTATACTCAAATCAATTTCGCGCGCATTCGCGAAAAACTAATATATATGTACTGCACTTGTACTTGTAAGAAAATTCTCTCTCTGCTCTTGTTATCTACATTCTCTTAACGAAACCAACGTGGCCTTTCCTCCTCCGTCATGCAAAAGTTCATTGAGTGTAGATAACAAAAACAAACCCGATAAGTAAAACACACCTTTTGGACGAAACTTTGCATAGTATATATAAATTGTCTGCGATTTTCTTAAACTGTGACGTAATAATTGAATAGAAAGAAACAGACACACCTTCGATCCGTCTGTTCTCTTTAGCTGCACTCTCTTGCATCTTTTATAGTTTCAAAACGCAAAATAAACGTATATTCAAATATTCGAAGGCGGAGAACACAACGGAATATATAGAAGCAAAATTTTATATTCTTCACTTCTACTATTTTTTTCTTTCGCAGGAAACAAGCCAATCGAAAACTCTCTCGTCCTTTATTAAAAAGTAAACAGATAAAAATTCAAATACAAAATTTCTGTCATTTTTTACTTAATTTTGTAACAAAAAGAACGTAAGTTTTGCTTCTTTATTATATTCCCAAGTGCAGTTAGGAAGAACAATGAATTTTATAACATCACAGTACTGTGTCACAGACTTATAAACGGGATCTCACATTGCATTATATATATATATATGTATAGCTGTCTTTTCTTTTTAAATATATAGAATCACGACGTGAAACAATCATTTACAAGAATGACCCACTTTCTTTCTCTCGCTCGTCTTTCTTTTCTTCCTTCATCTTCCTCTCGCATTTCGTGAAAGAAAGTATAAAATAGCATTAGATTTTTTTTTATCGCGACATCTTGCAGTTTTCTGACATAGTTTTATACATCAAACTATATCCCGAGACGTGTTTGTGCTCCGCACATCTCAGGAACACCAATATACAATCTGTACACGTCAAATGGTATTAATATTCGGAAATAACGAACACACGTGAGAGATAGACGAGAATGTTTAAACCCCGTTTGAAGATCGAAAACTATCGCGCAAAAATCGCTCCTTTTATTGAACACGCCAAATTATTATCAGCGTATCTCAATAACCGAGCCGTATGTTTTTTTAATTAATTAATTAATTAAATTTTTTTATATATTTGACATCTCTGAATTTGAACCGGATGCCGGGAATTTGTGCGCTTTTTCTCTTTCAATATCGCGAACGTGTGCAACAAGAATAGATCTGCTCGTTTTTTTAACAGCGAGATCGTAAAGTCAACAAAGTGACCAAGCGTAAACAATACGAATTCTCAAAAAAAAAAACAGCCGTAAAACAATTTTAATAAGAAAACTAGAATAAACGAACGAACAAATTGGTCGAGTTTGCAAAAAAAACGCGTTAATCGACGATTAAACTTAAGTTAAAAATATATTACACAGTCTTTTACAATAAGAGATATTACAAGTAGAAACGTTAGAAATGACTGAACATAAGTTTGTTTGTTGCTTTCTTTCGCAATGCTCCAAACTAAAAAATAGTACTGATCTCTTTTTTTGTTTCAAACTATTAACTCTCGACGTCTCGTCAATATATATTATCATTGCGCGCTCTTATCACAGACATAAAAGTTGCCTAATTCTAGATAATTAAATCGCGCTCTGTTCGCAGACGCGAAAATGTTGAAGAAAGAAGTTTGAAAAGAATTTTTCGTCTCGATTTTATATTACCCCAGTTCTAGTAGTTACCAATTTTTCATCGTATGACCTTGTCGTAAGACGGCGGTGGTGCTTCATCCGGAGGCATCAAAATAGCAATGTGATAAGGCGGCGGCGGCGCGCTCGGCCTTACCGTTGTTGTTGTTGTTGGCACTGTTGTCAGTGTCGTTCTGGCGACAGACTCACTGATGCCACCGGGATGCGTGTTTGTCAGAGCGGCGAGATGATCCTCCTGTATTGTGCGAGCGTTCTGCTCCGTTCGACCGCGGGGACAATGTCTTCTGACACACGCGACGAAAACAAAGCATACCGATAGCAGAAATACGAAAAATGCGAAAAGCGCGATCACTTCCAGACTTGCCTGTGACACAGAGATAAGAATCGATTAGATTACAAAGAAGACGAGAGCGAGAAACAATTGCTACAGAACAATGCTGGTTATATTGTATTAAAAAACACTACGTGAGTTTCGAATTAACATTATCACGTAGCAAAATGCAAAGAACACTTGCCTGGCCAGAATAAATCTTGATGGTTGCTATGAAGCTCACGCCTATGATCAAAGTAATCACCGAAGGTAAGATGGCGCAGCGTAGATCGGCCAAGGTGACGGTGCCGAGGGGCTCGGAGAAACCCGGATTTCTATTAGCGTTGTTCGCGCCGGTTGCATTAGTCAAAATCAATTGATTGTTGCTAGTATCGGTGACATTACTGCGAACAATGCGTCAAACCAGAGACGATTTAATATCGCCGTGCTACAGTAGTTCGTTTTATTAAAACTCGTTAATGTACAAACTGAGGGCGAATCATTTATAAAGTAATCCTCTTGTTGATTATACATATGTATAAGTGAGTCACCCTGTGTATAGGAAGAGCATGTTCCTCTCAGAATATCTCCTCTCTTAGTGTAGACCTTTTTGTGTTTTTCATTAATTACTTGGAGATGTTGCTTGGATGAGTGAGATGAGCCGCGTTGAGCGACGTAGAACCGTGGCGACGATTCTCGTTGTGACTTCGCGCGGACGTCGCAAACGACCGGGAGATGATGCTTCCGCAAGAATGATTGACATTACTAGGACCAGCTGCCGATGTGCTCCCGACCGCAAAGTTACCCGCAAGGCCCTGGAATCGATGCGCCGACTGTCTAAACTCGATTCGTCGATCTGAAAACAAATTGTGTAGAGCAACAAATCGAAAACCGTGATAATGATAAGAGAAACGAAAATAACGATAAGAAACAAACAAAATTATTTTGCAATGCAGTTTGAGAGATTGTCTTCTCGCTGATGACTGTTCAAGAGAGATACTCTATTGTGCTGTTTATTTTGAAATTTTAATTTATAAAACTTTTTTAATTACCAAAATGTGTTTTGTGCACTGATGTGGCAGGAAAACGGCGGCAGGTATAGCCGTAATACCTGCCTGTTGGCTTGTTGATTGTCCAGAAATACATTAAGAAATCAATCGCTCTGCTTCTCAAGTTCGGGAGATCAATTCCTGGCTAACAATTCGTCGATAATATTGTTTTTTTTTTTAATGTGTTCCCTTAGATATACAAACTTTCTATTTATTAGAATCAACTTTTAAATCCTACTGTTCTTGTACTTCCAATAGATATATATATATACATATGTATATATATATCTATCTCTACTCCATATTCTCTATTACTTATTTATCAGTGAAGAGCATCATTGTCATTTAACGTTCATTAAATTTACTTCTATCTTGCTGTTGCCGCCGCACTTAACATTCCTAAAAAAAAAAAAAAAATTCAATGTCACATATCTTCAAAAGAAAGCTAGAGAAAAAAACTTCTTCCAAAAATTAAATAAAATATTTTACAGTAATAATTTTTTCAACAAGAATTTAAAACTCTTGTTAAAATTGCATTTGGAAATGTAGTTGAGTATATTCAACTGTTCATTAGAGCATAAAAAAAAAATAATTACAAGAAGTAAAAATTTCAAAAAAGAAAGTGTGTGAAAGAGAATCAGATCTAATGAGGCATTAGTTAGGAGTTTGTTCTTTTCTGTGTGTGAACTCTTCATATATCTGTTCAAAGCCAGAAAACATAAACGTAAAGAAGTGTAGAAAAACAAATGTTGCTTCCAGCAACAAACAAATAAAAAAACGAAAGATGTGTGACAATACACTCACTTGTCTTTCATTCTTCGTTCAATTCCAATATGTCACGGATAAAAATTAACACATTGTGGCGCAGAATATACGCGATACGCAATTGGGTCTTAAATTTTCTTTTCACGTTTCTGCGTTTGTGCGTTGTTTAACTCGCGCGTTATCTTCATTTCTTCTGTTCTTGCGCGAACGTTGCGCGACACAAATCGCTCTCTCTTTTCCAGTGTCGATTTTATTTTTTTACTGGAAAAAAAAAAAACACAAACGTCAACAACTACGAGCCACGACGATGGATATGGACGTGTGCGTGCGTGGACGTGCGTCAATAAGAGACGTCGATCCGCATCTATCTTCTTCGCGCGAATCGCGTTCCGCCATTGCCTTACATTCGCATCGACGAGCGACGGCGCGAAATGCGTCGTGAAATCGTGCGCGTGTACCATGAAAATGACAACGAGCTATAAAAATTCATGGCATTATGAATTAGCCGAAACAACAGATTTGTTTTTTTTTCATTCATTTCACTCGCACTCTCCGTTACCTTAGTTTTTTCTTTTTTTCTTAATTTTTTTTCTTAATTAACAAGTATCAGTAATTCGTATCTTCACTTGTATTCAAGCTTTTTAACAAAGCTTCTCTTCTAGGTTTTGACGCAATTATCTCTCAATTTTTTTTGCGCGAAAGAAGGATTTTTAAAAAACGCTTTGCTGGCTCAAAGCTGCTGAAAAGCTAAATCGCGGTGGATGTCAAGATTAGGTTAGGTTAGGTTAGAAAATCTGTCATACGGAAGAACTCCAAAAAGCGAACACCCCTTTGTGCAGGAAAAAAACTCAGAGTCTGAGAGCGCAGTCAAGGCCGCATTTTAATTATTGTCCCTTTTCCACCCTGTTCGCCAGCGCAGTGGTGCATATTGTCAACTACGTGGCCATGTTTACGAGTGGACGATAGATAGTCGGTGCGTGCACGCCGGATTAGAACCGCACCCCGTGGACATAGCACGGAATAGAACCGTGTCCACACGACTTGGATGTAGCGTATGTACCGACCGGTCGCTCGTGGGGACGTTGGGTGCGTTCAGACAACTCAACGGTTGAGAGATCGTCACTTATGATTGGACTATTCTTGAAAATCTGAAGCGGTTCCGAAAGTATGATCCAATCAGAAGTGATTATCTCTCAACCGTTGTGCAACTTTTGAGTTGTCTGAACGCACCTAATGGGTGTGTTCAGACAACTCAGAAAGATCATCACTTATGATAGGACTATTCTTGAAAATCTGCAGCGGTTCCGAAAGTATGATCCAATCAGAAGCATAGACTTATATATAAATAGACCCAGCGTTCTGTGAGAGGAGTTGTCCGCGTCTTCTAAAGGACGGAACGATATGCATCCAGGTGCTGTCTCCGTCGCTCCGCCGGTCTGGAGGGGGAACGTCGATGGATAACGTTGAAGGAAAGCGAACTTAAAGGCGCGTGTACCGCACTTATATGTGTTTTGCTCGAAATTCTTCTGACCGTGGTATGCTTGAAAAAAAAGTTTCTATTATTATATATAGATTGTTGGTTAGATGTAACTATTTTTACTGCAATTCAAAGTTATTTACGTACGTATGAAATGTAATATCTGCATGGGANCCACAATGCGATTTGCAAATGCAACACTGAGACATTTTCTGTGTCTTTTTCCGTGTAACCTAACCTAACCCTATTACACATATAAGTACGGTACACGCGCCTTTAAGTTCGCTTTCCTTCAACGTTATCCATCGACGTTCCCCCTCCAGACCGGCGGAGCGACGGAGACAGCACCTGGATGCATATCGTTCCGTCCTTTAGAAGACGCGGACAACTCCTCTCACAGAACGCTGGGTCTATTTATATATAAGTCTATGATCAGAAGTGATTATCTCTCAACCGTTGTGCAACTTTTGAGTTGTCTGAACACACCTATTAGGTGTGTTCAGACAACTCAAAAGTTGTTCAAAAGAAAGAGGTGTGTTCAGACAACTCAACGGTTGAGAGATCATCACTTATGATAGGACTATTCTTCAAAATCTGATGCGGTTCCGAAAGTACGATCCAATCAGAAGTGATTGTCTCTCAACCGTTGTGCAACTGTTGAGTTGTCTGAACACACCCATTAGGTGCGTTCAGACAATTCAACGGTTGAGAGATCATCACTTATGATAGGACTATTCCTCAAAATCTGATGCGGTTCCGAAAGTATGATCCAATCAGAAGTGATTCTCTCTCAACCGTTGTGCAACTGTTGAGTTGTCTGAACGCACCCTATCTTCGTTGCTCTCGGCCACTCCCTCGGGCTGCCGCGGCCACCAATCAACTCACTGCTAGAAAAGAAGAGAACTACTCCACGACTATTTCTGTCTCTTTTCACAAAGCTTCAGCTCCTCTTCCATGAATGTTCCGTCTATTAGTATATTAGTCTATGGTGTGGACATATCGCTGGTTTACAGAGCGTAAAAACTGGTTCAGTTTTTTTTATAGCAGTTTTGGACTGTGTCCAGTTAAGCAAGAAAGAACGAACGAACGCAGGAAATGCAGGAAATACGACAATTGAAACGCGGGAATAGCAGAAATTGAAAGAAGTGCGAAAAAGTGCGGACTGTCCGCTACTGCGCATGCTTCGTAACACATCGGACAGCCATCTTCTCATTCCTTCGTTTTCACTTTCTCGACTTCTTTCAATTCCAATTATTTCCGCATTTCCTGCATTTTCTGCGTTGGTTTGTTCCCTCTTTTGAAGAAAAAGATGGAGGGTATGTAACAAGCATGCGATGTAAACATAACCCTTGCGAGAGAGCGTTCTGTAAGGTGCGGTTTGTCGAAAAGATGAAAGACAAAATCTCATCTAAGAACAAGAGGTAAAGAAAAGATTTTGAGAAAAAGAAAAAGAGTTAATAAAAAAACGAATACGCTAAGAAGTACACACGGATGTGTCGAGAAATGTAAATATCAAATTTTGAAAGAAACCGCGTTGTTCGCGAGATGAATACCTAACCTAACCTAACCTCAAGTTAACGCAAAGTTTCTTTTCGAAAATTTTGTTTCGGTAGATTGTCAAGAGAGATCATTTTATTTCTCTCAACATGTTATTTGCCATCGAAAGATATGCCATACGCGCTGGTTCGCGATGTGCACGTCGATTTTTCTCAAAGAACGTTGACGTTCTAACAAAGGACAAACAAGAATTCGTGCTGCAACCCGAAAGCAATTTCACGTCGATACGACGGGAAGGTCAAAAAGTTTTGAAAATTGCTGTTCTAGGCGCTCCGAACGTTGGGAAAAGCACACTTGTTAATCAACTTATCAAGAGATCGGTAATTATATCAAAATATTTATTTATAAACAAAACTTCTACACATAGTTGTTGACAAAACATTTACTTTTATTGTATGTAGTATAAGTTTGGTTTAAGAATTTTTCTCGACAGTTTTTCTGTCACATTCTTGTTACAGATCTTGAGTACTGTAGTTTTCAATGTTTATTGTATCATAATAATGTATTTTTACACAGAAAAATATATGTTATTGTGGTTTTATATTGTTTACAGATATGTCCTGTATCGTCCAAGGTACATACCACACAAGCCAAAGCACACGCAGTTTATTGCGAGAATGATACTCAGCTGGTATTTATAGATACGCCTGGTATGGTTTCACCAGCGGAGTGTAAACGTTACAATTTGGGAAATAGCTTTGTAAGAGATTCGCAACTCTCTTTAAAAGTAGCGGATATCATAGGAATTGTACAAGACGCACATAACGTATTCACGAGAGATAAAATCGATCCGAATGTGTCGAATCTATTGACCGAAGATATAAGAAACACCATACCTATGATTCTAATCTTTAACAAAGTGGACAAGGTGAAGAAGAAAGACATATTGTTACATCTTGTCAATGTTCTAACGAAGAGTAAGAATTCTCTGAATTTCGCTGACATTTTTATGATATCAGCAATGACCGGAGATGGCATCGATGATTTGAGAGTAAGAACTGCATTAACATTTGTGATTTTGTACAAACATTTCAATTCTATCAAGATCTTTAGCTAATTTTTTGACGATACGAGTTTATGCAACTCTTTTTGTTATTTATATTTTACAGACTTACTTATTGGACTCTGCAAAACCTGGAGATTGGTATTACGACAAACACATATATAGTGATAACACGTGTGAGGATATAATACAGCAGACTGTGCGCGCCAAATTGCTAGATAATCTACCGGATGAGATTCCTTACAACTTGAAAGTTAAGTTGGAACATTTCGATCCCGGACCCGACGACAGCATTAGCGCACTGGTATCCGTTACGTGTCCGAAGAAACGTATTGTTAACCTCATTTTAAGGAGCAAAGGCAGAAGATTGAAAAATATCGCTGTTAAAGCGGAAGAGGAATTGAGACACGCGTTTCGGACGCCAGTAAGATTGAGGATATCCGTGCAGTTAGCCCAATAATTTATATGTGTATCAAATAAAATTATATATTTATATTATGTTATATTAATACGCATCATACAATTTGGAAACGAGTTTTGCTTAATAACAAAGCGAAGCTGGAGCAAGATTTATTTTTTAGATAAATTTTTGTATTTTCATTTAAAAAAAACGCTATATAATTTTCTGATCCATCCAAACAACCATTTTATGTATAAGCGCATGAATCGTTGAATTGTTAATTTCCCATTACATTTCACAAAAATTTTATTAGAACGGCGTGAGAATACGATCTGTCACGTTACGTAAAAAACAAAAACAAATTAACGCGTAGCAAAGTTTTTCTCTAATTTTTAGAGAAAAACGACTGTATTTAAAAGCGAAACATTGATTCGTGAATTAGCATTTATCGTAAATGCAAATAAAAAGAAACGACAGATTAACTTTTGGACACTTGCCTTTTGTGTTTGGAAAGAACAACGTAACGAAATAAACGAACGCAATCGAGAAATCGCATATCGTATCTACCCGCATTGTCGTTTTAGACGCGTGTACAATATTTACGAATATAAAATATTTACGGATCGTCGAACGAATGACTGTCAAAGTTGTTTGACCGGCTTCGGTCGTCCATCAACGAGGACGACTGTGTTCATTGATTGACCTATTCTAGTATACGCACAATACCTCCTCGGAGGCTGCCGAAGGGGGTGCAGCAGTATTAAGAATACACAGCCTTTGAGAATGCAACGTGACAGTGACGTCCGTTCGACACGATATGTATGATCCTTAAGACGTACAAGATACGTCCAACGAAATTTCTGGAGATACAAAAGTAAATAAGGAACATTGTCGCGGGATGAATGGGATTACAATTGTATTTAAAGACTGACATTTGAATAATGTTCTTTATCCTTGTGTGTGTTAATTTTAATATAGATATTGTTTAAGATAGACTTTATAACTTTACATATACACTTGAATGAGTATAAAAACATGTAAATAAAAGAGGAGTGAGAGAGAGTACCGCGGCAAAAACCAGCGGCAAAAAACAATGAATCCCAAATTATGCGGCAAAACCACTCCCTTGGTTTTCTTCTTCACGCCGCGTCCTCCCACTTCTCTCTTTCGGAGAGAAAAGATTCTTTTGCTCGTTCGATGCTCCCCGCGGTGCCGACCTACCCCATCTCGGAAAGATACATCTCCTCGTTGATGTAATCGAACCGTCGGTGACCATTGGCACAGCGTGGAACAGACGAGCGTGTTGTCGATTATCCGTGACGTCACCGTCTCATAGTGTGATCGTCCGATCTTCGAACGTAGAAAAAGAGTCTTTGCGTCAACGTAATTCCGATGCATTGAATACCGCGCGTATATTGCGTACAATTCCCGCGGGAATTCGTTGGAACAAAAGCTTTAAATTCGTATTTAATGAATTTCTGTTACAATCAAGTATATCAGTAGTTTCTTATCGTACCAATATCGCGATTATTGATGTGAATGCTTCTAAGTAATGTATTTAAGCAATGTTCTTTGTTTATTCTATCTGAGACATTTTTTGCGAATTATCAATATGCACAACTTAATTTTAACAAAAAAAGTGTCTTATGTATATAAATTTCAATGTGACAAGCAAGTTGGAACCAAATACACGGGTGTTGTTGTGCGAATATGTGATGGTAATATTATTTATTCAATAATGTGTATATAAATGAAGCATAACAATATAGCTATATTATTTGTAGAATTTGACAAAGACCTAAACCGAAGGTCGAAACGTTGTTACGCCTCATTTATATACACATTATTGAATAAATAATATTACCATCACATATTCGCGCAACAACACCCGTGTATTTGGTTCCAACTTGCCTGTCACATTGAAATTTACATATTTTTGGAACTATTTGTTCTTTTTCTGAATTATTATGTATATAAACATTAAGATATAAAACACTTTTTTATCTACTCAACGACTAACTTTCCCAGATAGCCAAGTGTGAAAACTCAATATAAAGCAAATTATTGTATGGATTAAGTTGCTCGCCAATTGCTGTTGTGTTGTTTTTATTTAACGCAACGAAAATTGTTTTTGTCAATTCGGTATCAATATGCTGAGTTTTAGTATCAATCAATTGTTGTAGCCAATGTTTGGGACATGTGAGTCAGCAATATGTGAGCAATAATTTTTATTCACAAGTTGAGAAAAATAATATAAGTTTATTGCCGATGAGTTGTTGAGAACTTGTTATTATATTTTGAAAACTGTTGTTGGCAAGAACATACCGAAAAGAGGATACACCGTTTTGTTACATCGCTGAAAACATATGAGTAACATATTTGCGGCAAGTTGCCAACAACTTGCGCTCAGTTGGCTATCCGGGTTCCTTTTCTCAATTATAATAATAATTGAAAATTAATATTTGCAAGTTGTGCAAGATGTGATCGAACTATAATATAGTTTAGGAAAGCACATCGTCTCTCTCGTATACGTTTATTATCGAGAGTAACGTAATAATACTATCATATCTCTGCGCGCTATTCATAATCAATTTAATGAGCAAGTTAATGCGATACGATCGGTATTCGGTTACGCAGGAAAATGGCGCGTTGTGCCCCGCCGTTCAAAAGGGCACGTTTATGTACATTAAACAACCGCAGTTAGTACGGGAGAACCTATCTCGTGGGTGGATAGAGAGATTTTTCATCTACGTCTGTGTGACGCGGAATCGCTCTCTGACCTATTTGCCACGTCACGCGGAACGTGTACGCATCGCCGAATATATTATTATCACATATATCTGGTTACGACATCGATTAAGGGTCGGCCTGAAGTGACGGGCAAAGTTGATACGAAAGAGAGAGAGAGAGATTGCACGCGACAGTCTTTTCTTCTCGCTCTTTCGGCAATCAGCGCGCTCCATTTTGAGCAGTGAAAAACTTTTATATCCACGCAATCGTCATAATCGATCAAGCTTTCTGATAAATTTCACTATTATCCATTTGCCAATATGCTCTTTAGAAAACTCCTCGGATTATTGACCTTCTATTCTAGTGGCTGAATGACCTTTGAAGAACGCGCGTGGATCTAATTTAAAGAGAAGAGATTTCAAAACGAGTTTTTCCGTGTCATCCGAAAGGAACGTCATTATCGAAAAGCACGTGGGATACGCGGGAAAGAGGTAAGTGTCCTCGTACCCGATGTCGGGCACCCGGTATATTGTCAACTGTCAGTTGACAAGCTTAACAGAGGACGCGCGCCTTTTCCGTTGCGAAGAGTTCCGAACCGGGGCACTCCCATCCCATAGAATTGCGCGCTCAATCGTCCATCGACATGACCGCGTCGGCCCGATACTTATTATCGAATACGGTCTCCGTGCGTATCTTTTCCTTCGCGAACCGAAATTTATTTTTGTGTTTCGCGCGGAAGACACGCATGTAAGTTATCTTCTCTCAAGTTCGATGTTTCTTGCTTTTGCGTGTCGCGTCGAAAAAAAAAAATCTTCAATTTAAGTACAACCGAGGGAAGAATTTCGCTCGTCCGCGAGCGCGACTCGGTTGCGATCGTCTCTTCCGACTGCGAATCGGTCGAATCTCAAAATAGCGGTGATGAGGCTCCTCGAGCGTGACAAGCGCATCTCTCAAGCGACGATTTACTTGTCAAATAATTCTTACCGCGACCGCGGGGCTTCGCGATTACCACCCGAGCGTACGCAGTAACTTACGTGCGTGCTTTACGTTGCGTCGACAATATTTCATTGCCCTTTCGCAAGTCGGGCGATAAAAACTTTTGCGGTTGCCGAACGCAACATTGCCACGTTGCTGCGTGTGCCCATAATTTTCGCTTCGACCAAATTTAGGTTGTTTAGAACGTAAGAAAACGCGCAATATAAAAGATTAAGAATCCCGACAACCGGATATATATCAAAGAGACCGGACATTTATGTTGGGGAAACAATTGTCGGATGTGTCAAAAATAATCCATAACAGTTTCTCAGGGTTTTAAATATTTTTTTAAATATATTTTTAATTAGTCGTTTCTTCGATTTATTTTTTACGCAATTAGAAGTGTCGCGAATTTGAACATTTTACATAAGACGGTCATAGAAAAATCCGTAATAGGTAAATAACAAATAATTAAATTTCATTTTAGTTACTTAATGTACACAGTAAAAAATAAAATGTTAATTTTAATTTGAGTGGACCTCCTAGGACATGTAAAAATCGTTAAAATAAATAATTCGTCATGTGTTATTTATTGACAAAAACTAGTAATGTTAAGTGACTGACACTTTACATTTATTAATTTGTTACATTTTGACTTTAAGTAATGTAAAAATAAAATAACATCATTATTTTGTTATTTTAGTTTTTGTTATTTTACATTACTTAAAGTCAAAATATAACAAATATAAATGTAAAGTGTCAGTCACTTAACATCACTAGTTTGTCAATAAATAACACATGACGAATGAGTTATTTTAATCTTTTTTACATGTCCTGGGAGATCCGCTCAAATTAATTATGTTATTTTATTTTTTACTGTGTGTGTTCATGTTTTTTTTTTTAAAAAAAACCACAGATTGTAAAATTACGATCACGTCGAGATACCGTATAACACGCGAGATAGTTAAAAACGCGTGGTGAATGCCCGGTGGTCTCGTGATCATCAAAGGGTTATTACACTTAGTACTTTACGACTCTCTCTCGGTTCCTGTCAAGTATGTCAACAGGTTGCTCGCGAGACACGATTCAAACTGTAAATCACTTGGTGTGTGTCCCTGTTCTTCTTCGCCGTGTCTGTTCTTTATATCACAACTCACAAATATATATGGCGGTGTTGCTCACTTGTTCAAGTACCTTTATCGCAGTTAAAATGTTACGTTTTTTTTTTTATTTGATTACACTTCTTCCTAGATTTTATTTCAAACTCTTCGCAAAAAGACGTTCATTCTGTTTCGAGTTCTATCTCTCGAGAAACTGTGTATTTGACTTTTTTTTTTTTTTTTTTTTACGTTAAATCGTTGGAATCGTCTTCTCGCGCAAAATCGATCGGAAAAACTTTTTTCTCGAAAAAAAGAACCGGAATACTCCGTCGTTTGTATACGTATCGAAACTTCGACAGCAGGGAGACGTTAACTTTTCAA